CAATTTTCTTTCAAGAGCTTAAATCCCATGGATTGTTGTCCAAAAATTTTTGTACAATTATTCTAGTGAGTAAAATTGCAAAAGATAATTACAAAATTTATATAAATTGAACCAAAATTAAGAAAGCTGGAATAAATGACATAATTAAAATTTTTATGGTATTTACATTTTCTAACTTCATTTTTTCATTAAAAATCTATTAAAAAAAAAAGTAAAATATTAACAAAATATGGATTCATTAGCTGTCTTACTTTGTATTTTCCCGATGGCTTCTTCCCTCAACGATATCAGAGTGTCAGAGACAGGTTCCAAATTTTTACCTCCTCTTTTCTTGCCCATCACTAATGTGGGAAGAAGAATGCGAACCACAAATAGAAGAATTCTGAGCCACACTCATTTACGGTTGGGCTTTGCAAGGTCTTGTTTCCCACGTAGAAGATGAGATGTGACGACCCATGCATAGCTATGAAGTCAAGAGATTCTGGAATCTCTCTTTCCTGTGCTATCAAGAATAAGGAATAGCCAGTAAGATATTCTTATCCACGCTTGCAAGAGATTCAGTTTAGTGTAAGGTGCAAGGCAAAAGTCAAAAAGAAAATCGAACTCCCAATCAGTCTAAGACTGTGTGTGGACAAGAGTTCCCTCAGGACAGGTTCGAAATCATCCTACAACCAAAATAGAAAATGTAAACGCATTTTTAATATATATCATAATAAGTGTATAACATCTTATAAAACAAAGCAAACTTGTAAAAGATTGTCTAACACAAGCAGAACATAAGAATTTAACCTGTGTAGGGCTTAATTTAACTCTTATTCCGTACATAATTTTTGAATGATCACCACCAAGCCGAGATTTACAAGAAAAAAAAAAAGCGTATGTTTTCAATACTAGGAAAATGCATTCTTCTTAAGATGTACAGCAAGAAGAATTAAGACAAGTGCAGATCTTAAAGTCAATGTTTATTTGATCAAAAAGTCGTGAAATCAATTGGGGTATTTTACAATATTCTGACACATCATATAATAACTAATATTAAACACTTCAGAGTGAGAACTCAGATTCTGAATTTTGTAGAACTCTCTGTAATTGGTAAAAGATCTGCATAATTTTTCACACTGTTGTTACTTAACATTATTGTCGACTTCAATAATAGTCCACAACAAGATCACAAAATGCACAAGGATAATGTACTTATAAACAAAACCAACAACGTGTAATAATTGAAAGATTTACCCCAATGTTTATCAGCTGTGAGGAATTAATTAGAGCCTGTCCAAATCTTAACGGAAGTTTTTTCAACAACTGAACATGATATGCACATACATCATATTACAAACTCAACCAGCTGTGACCAACCTATTTAGAAGGTAACTTTGTCATTCATGAATATCCCTTCAATCTTTAACCGAGTTGTTACATGCTCAGAAACTAAACTCATGCAGGGTCCCTTACATAATTTCTTAGTAATCTAAATGAAAAAGCCGACCTACATCCACTTGCTCTTGAAAATGTTTACAACTGATATAATAAAATAGAATTGTCATTTTATTTTGTGAGCTAATTCATTTGTTTCATGATTCATTGATATTTCTTGCAATTTCCAATCTTCAGATAAATTTTAATTTTAATTTGAACAGATAAATCTTCAGATAAGTTCTTTTGATATTTCAAGCATTATATTTTCTCGTTGCAAGTCAAACACATATATCTCATGCCATATAACAATCACCAAGTATCCAACCCTTTGTTGATTATGCAATTCAAACGATAAGACAATGCTCTAAACATGAATGGTTAATTAAATGAACATGCAAATTTTATTCTACCCTTCTCCAAAGGGAATCAAATATTAGGTAGACATTGTCACTGATTCCATTATACATAAACCAAGATCCATGCTACCTTGAAACTTAAGTTAAATTTAATTTTAGAAATAAAAGAAAAAAGAGTACCTCAGCTAGAGTCGGGAATTTGTCGGCAGCTTCCGCTGGAAGAGAGAGACGGAGAGTGAAACATCAAAACAGTGTTTACTGTGCACAACTCGCATTGCATAATCCTTACTAGAAATACGAACGGTATTTACCGTGCTTACGCTGCGTAACTTAGGATTTGGAGGATTGGAATTAGAGTTGATTTGGGAGTATTCTGATATTGGGATTAGGGTTCCCAGATCATGGATAAAATTAACAGTGTTTTCAGGGTAAGTGTAGCAGGGCTGAATGGGTTATTGTAGTGTTGGCCCAGAAATTTAGCCCTTTCGACACCTCTGATTGTTTTTCAAAAAGCGTGTTATCTACCATCTTTTCCTACTGGTTACGAAGTAAGAGAGCAAATATTAATCACCACATGTTGATGGAATGGCTTGAGCTCTCTCACCTGCCAAAATGTGTTATCCCTGTGTCTCTTTGGTTGATTCTTGTTTTTTATGGCAGTGATTGAAGTTCAAGCTCTGTATATTGCATATTATGTATTGTAAGAATTTTTAGATTTATAATTATGTTGTAAAATATTTCTCTTATTATACATAATTATTATTATTAATTTTAGCTAGATATATATCCTCTCTTCAATTTGTGATACTATAGTTTTCTAAGAGGGTTAACAATATATGTTTTTAACATCATTATTATTTATTACAATTTGCAAAGAAAATGTAAGTAAATCCCATTCATTAAATAATTAAATGCAAGATTTACTGTATTTTCTAACTTTTAATAAATTCAATTAATAATAAAAGAATGCTTCTGAAAGTGTGGTGCTTTTAGTATTTTATAACTTCTTTACCTTGTGTTTCATTGCTGTCATAAAATGTTGTGGAATTTTTGTATAAGAATTCATTAGTTTATTTTCCAAATAACTCTGGGAGTTGGATGGGATGTAGAATTATTAATTAGTCTTATAAGACATTCTTTAAAGATATAAATTTTTTTATTGAAAAGTGTTCATGATATGCTTCCATTGAAGAGGAAGAAGGGTAAAGGTGTAGAAGAAGTGGATGAGGATCATTCATACACTACCACCATGGATAGTAGTCAGCACCAGAAGAAAAGTAAAATAGAGAAGATTAAGGAGAAACTCCTTGTATGAGCCAGTGAATGCTCATCAATATATAATAATGTTTATTATATGTCATCCCATATAGTTGGATTTTGGGAATTTGTGTGATCATTTTTATATTAATCATAATTAACAAGGTTTAATTGTACTTTTAATGTGCAATTGTGATTTTATTTTCTTAATTTTAATCGTTTATATATTTTAAGATTTTCAATTGATTTAATTAAATTTTTTATTCTAATTTTATGACAATAAAAAATTTGTATTATATTTTAGATAAAATATTATATATACCTATATATATTAATTTATAATAATCATATTCTTATCATATTTTTTAATTATTAAATAAAATTTGAAGGTTAAAAATGTAATTTCAACAACTAAAAATTGAAACAATTAATTATAACCAATTAAAATAAGGAGATTAAAATTATACATAAATAAAATTATAGAAAAAAATATAATAATTAGTTATGATTAAATTTATATTATGTTAGAATACATGAATGATAAATAATGAATATATAGAAAGCTACATTAAGTAAGAATTTTGTTGTAATTCTTTTAATTTTGATTTTTTTATATATTTAAATTTCGAACTTGGAGTTTTGATTATTTTTTTTTTAGAAAAGATAAAAGTTATTTATTAACTAAAGGTTTAAATATTTAAATTTTATTATAATCTCGTGACTTAATTTAAATATTGTTTGTTGTGTTTTTTATTAGAAGAAATTAAAATGGTATACTTTTTAATATTATAATGAGATATGAGATGATATTATTTTTATTATCATGTTTTTTATGATCTCATTGAAATATTCGGAATTTTTTTGAGATTAAATATTTATTTTATTTAATTATATTTTGGTTTGTTATCTATATTTTTTTTGCATGAAATATGAGTTTAATATTATATGATATCTGTCAATTATCATTTTTTTACTGTTGATTAAAAAGTATGAAATAGAAATATTAATTTATGAGAAAAAATTATATTTATATAATTTTTATATTTTTTCATAGATTTTAATTAACAGTAAAACATCTTAAAAGAGTGTGTTATTTTAGTGTTTAAAATGTTAAAATCAAAGAACTCATTCACTCAAGTTGACTTTGTTATTCGATATTTAGTTATTTTACCCGAAACTCTTTTCCTGACGAAGAACACAATTGATTTCCATACATGCTTGACACGTTCTCTTTCTCTACGTGCAGTCACGAAAGATAGCATCATAATATACATATACAGCTCTGCATGTCGTCAAATATTGCATCCATCTCATTTTAAATCTCACTTAATTAATACCAGTGCATTTATTTTAAGACAATAAATATTTTTGGGTATTATAAAATAAATAAATAAATAAACAATGAGTTTAATCTATGATTGAGAAAGAAAAACAAATAAATTCGAGTAGTTCATTCATCTAAAAAACTTGAACAATTTAAACTTATTTGTTTCTAAAAGTTTGATTATCTAACAAAAATAACAAAGTAAAAAGTGGGTTATGTTATTGTTAGCTTTATTGTGGTTGTTGATGATGAATGAAATGAAACAAAAAAGTGGAAGATAGTTGACTTGTTCAAACCAATCATTTAGTTTGATTAGCTTTAGCAAAGGCTAAAAAAAGGAAAAGAACAAGTAATGTAGGAGAATCCTCAAAGCACAATGCACCCTCCACATTCTTTGGCTAACTATTGGGAATTCAAAGTGGTGTAAAAGTTGTCATTCCTTCCTTTTTGCCTCCAAAGAATGGTGTTGTTAGCGAGAGAGAATCCCTTATAGGGATCATTAGACACCCTTTTTCAGGCTTTCTTGTTAATCTTGATTTCTAAATAGAAACTCACTGAGCCTCACCCCAGGAGGTATGGGGAGGATAGAAAATAAACAAAGTACCTTTGAAGCACACTTTCTATCATCCTTGAGGTCATCTTTGATGGCTACCCTCCTGGTCATTTTCTTGGCCTTGTCCTCATTAGGAAATGCACTTTCTACCTCATCCTTCATTCCCAAAGACAATTTTCTGATTGATTGTGGTTCAGATAATGCAGCCACACTCCCTGATGGAAGAGAATTCAAATCAGACCCTCAAGCAAGATCCTTCTTGCAAGCCAATGATGAGTACATGGTCTCAGCAGATGGTGTAAATGTTTCCTCCTATCCCATATATTCAAATGCAAGGATCTTCATTCAGGAAGCCAAGTATTCATTCCATTTGGTTCAACCAGGATTTCATTGGATCAGGCTCCATTTCTATCCCATCAAGAACAATGTCTTTGATCTTCAAAAGGCCACTTTCTCTGTCTTCACAGACACATATGTTCTCCTACACAGCTTCAATGTTAACAACACTGAAAAGGCAATCCTCAAGGAGTACCTCATCAATGCAACTGAACCTCAATTAACCTTGGCATTCATTCCCCTCAAGAATTCAGCTGCATTCATCAATGCCATTGAGGTTGTTTCAGCTCCTGATGACTTGATCTTTGACACTGGATCCGGCCTTTTCCCAGTCAGCGAGTTTGGCGGCCTCACGGCTTATGGTTTTGAAGCTGTTTACAGGCTCAACAATGGAGGGCCCTTGATCACCTCATCAAATGACACCCTTGGAAGAACTTGGGAACCTGATGACACTTACCTCACAAACAAGAACTTGGCAAAGAATGCCTCTGTGGCTACCAATGCCATTAAGTTCCCCAAAGACAATCCAACAATTTCCCCTCTCATTGCACCACAAACTGTGTACTCCTCTGTCACTGAAATGGGTGATGCTGGTGTCAATCAGCCAAATTTCAATGTCTCATGGAAATTTGATGTGGATGATGCTTTTAGCTACCTTGTTAGATTACATTTCTGTGACATTGTGAGCAAGGGCCTCAATGAACTCTACTTTAATGTCTATGTTAATGGGAAGATGGCAATTTCTAACTTGGATTTGTCAGCTATCACTGGAGCCTTGGCAACCCCATATTACAAAGACATTGTGGTCAATGCAACATTGATGTCTGAAGGACTAACAGTTCAGGTAGGTCCAGCAAATGCGGATGGCGGAAATGCCAATGCCATTTTGAATGGTGTGGAGGTCTTGAAGATGAGCAACTCTGTCAACAGTTTAGATGGAGAATTTGGAGTTGATGGAAGAAGGATAGGTGGTTCTAACCGTGGCACGGTGGCAGCAGTTGGATTTGCCATGATGTTTGGAGCTTTTGTGGGTCTTGGTGCTATGGTGATCAAGTGGCACAAGAGGCCTCAAGACTGGCAAAAGAGGAATAGCTTCTCTTCATGGTTACTGCCTCTGCATGCTGGTGACACAAGCTTCATGAGCAGCAAGAACTCAATGGGAAAGAGCAATATCTTCTCCTCATCAATGGGATTAGGAAGGTACTTCTCCTTTTCAGAACTGCAGGAAGCAACCAAGAACTTTGACTCCAAGAACATCATTGGTGTTGGTGGATTTGGCAATGTCTATTTAGGTGTGATTGATGAGGGGACTCAAGTGGCAGTCAAGAGAGGAAACCCACAATCAGAACAAGGCATAAATGAATTCCAAACTGAGATTCAAATGTTGTCCAAGCTCAGGCACAGGCACCTGGTTTCCTTGATTGGATACTGTGATGAGAATGATGAGATGATCCTGGTTTATGAGTACATGCCTAGTGGACACTTCAGAGACCACCTCTATGGAAAGAACATGACCATGACTCCTCTTTCATGGAAGCAAAGGTTAGAGATATGCATTGGAGCAGCTCGCGGTCTTCACTACCTTCACACCGGCACTGCACAAGGCATCATTCACCGCGATGTTAAGACCACCAACATCTTGCTTGATGAGAATTTGACAGCCAAGGTTTCTGATTTTGGACTTTCAAAGGATGCACCAATGGGGCAGGGTCATGTTAGTACTGCAGTGAAGGGTAGCTTTGGTTATCTTGACCCTGAGTACTTCCGGAGGCAGCAACTAACTGAAAAGTCTGATGTGTACTCATTTGGGGTAGTCCTGCTTGAGGCACTATGTGCAAGGCCAGCCATTAACCCACAGTTGCCCAGGGAACAAGTAAACTTGGCTGATTGGGCAATGCAATGGAAGAGGAAGGGCTTGCTTGACAAGATCATTGACCCTCACCTTGTTGGTTCCATCAATCCTGAGTCTATGAAGAAGTTTGCTGAGGCTGCTGAAAAGTGCTTGGCTGATCATGGAGTTGATAGGCCTTCAATGGGAGATGTTCTTTGGAACCTGGAGTATGCATTGCAGCTTCAAGAAGCCTTCACGCAAGGAAAGGCTGAGGATGAGATCAAGTCTTCTGCAGCTGTTCCTACTTCACCAGCTCCACAAACACCTTCCACCCCCTCTGATGCTCCAGAAGTCATTAATGCTCCACCAGTCAATGATGCTCCACCTGTGAATAATGCTCCATCAGTGAACAACACTCCAGCCGAAGCCGAAGCCGAATCCGAAGCCCGTGCTGTTGATGACCATTCTGGAATGTTTGCCCAGTTTGATCGCCTTAATGGCAGGTGAAAGCAAAATTTGGTTCCATGAAACCTGGACTGCTGCAAATTTGATCATCTCAAGGAGCTTTTATGGTAACTTTCTCAAGGTTTTTTGGCCAAAAATTTCCTGTATAATGGTGTGATATTCTATGGGTTTCTCTTCTAGGTACTCCTGCTCACTTGTCTGTCTTTTTGTATTGTGTGTGGAGTATTGTCATGATAGCAAAAATTGTATCAGATATTTTATACGATTGACTTACTAGTTTGTAAGTACATATATATGCATTCAACAGTACCATTATTCATAATTAGTCCTATATTTTGTTATGTAAGGGGTAATTGTAGAAACTAGCTTCTGGCAGGTTGTGAATTTGAATTGAATTTATCTGCAATCAGCTAATAAATGTTGTAACAAAGACTTGTTTCGATTTTACAAAAATAGTCTCCTTTTCTCAATTGACCATTAAGAATTTTAGTGTCCAAGTTCCACCTGGAAGAGAACAAACTAGGGCATTTAAAATCTAAATTGACATTTTCAGTCTTGCTTTGTTCTTGTCACATGTAAGATGGTTGAATCAACTAATCATCTTTTTATTATTATCATATCTTAAGGAGAAAAGTGAAAACTAAGGGCTTGTTTGTTTTTTCTTTTTAAATAAGTTTTTTGTTTTGAAAAAAAAAACTTATTTGTTAATGTAAATTTTAAAAACTAATTTAAAAATAAATTTTTTAGTTTTAAAACTGAAAAATAGAATTACTAACAAAGTGTTTTTGTTTTTATTTTTCTGTTTTTCTTCCTAAAACTAATGATAGTTTACTAAAAACAGTTTTAAAAATTAAATTACTAAAAAAATTTGATTTTTATTTTTAAAAATTGTTTTATAAAATTGTTTTAAAATATAATTTTTAAAGAACTAAAAATTAAAACTAAATCCAACAAGTCCTAAATGCACAAGTCCTTGGTTTTCTTCTTGAAACCATCCTAAGCATTGAATGATCAATCCACAACAGGATGAAAAAAATAGTCTTCTCTTGCATGCTGTGCTTTGCCATATGATAAAAGCAATAAAATTGGAAATGTCACCTATAACTGGAGATATTAAAACAGTGATAATACTCTATTTTTGAATAAGCAAGTTCCTTAAAAACAAAAAGTACTCATGAAACAGTGTTATCCCTTAAAGCTTTTTTCGATCAAAAAATGACACAAGCAAATGAATAGCCCAAAGACGCTTTATCTGGTAATAGAAATAGAACCATCTTCTTTTCCTACTCCACCAATTGTGTGTATATTTAACAAGTTTAACTTCAACAAGGTGTGTTATAATAGCATATTATTCTGATATTATATTCAATCAGGCTTTGAATGCAACAAATTGTACATCCATTGTTGCCGGTATTTTAATTTTGATAGTTGATCAGCTATCTATTCTGACCCAAGAAACGCAACTATTGTTATGCAAATTGTCATTGTCAAAATTACGCTGTCATGAAACAGTCTCTCAGAAGCAATGACTTTCTTCTTAGCTAGTCTCTCTTCTAAATGAGCAAAAGGAACAAAAATGTTTCATCAACCTTCATCCAAAGTACATCGCTTCCCTTTGGTTAGAGAACACCTTATACTTTCACTGCTATACTAGAGGACCATGCAAATCATTGTCTATAAATTAAATTACTATATCAGTTCGTATACATTTGAAAAAAATAAGTCTCTGTAGTTTCAATTTTTATAATTATATAAAATTTCGAAATAATTCTCTTGGGTCCTTGAGACCACCTAAGGTTAAGAGACAGGAGACCCCAGTGTGATAGTCACAAACCCCAGTCTCTATACAGACAAGAAGTGGTGGACGCACGATGTATTATTATTTATAACATCTTTTGCAACTTTTTTGTCTGTTATTTTTTAACTTTTCCTTTTCTTTTTTCTTTTTTTACTTTCCATCATCTTTATTTGAATTACTTTTAGAGATTTAATTTCAAAAGGTAATTTATAAATCAGTTCCAAAATTTTCATTTAAAAGAAATTTACAAATTATTTCTGAAATTAAATTTTTGAAATTTTGTAATACATTATAAAATTGTTTTTTTTTAGAGTAATGTTAAAAAAAAAGTTGTCCAATTAACATAAAAGAATACTGTAAAATATAATTCCTCAACTCAGATTTCATAAAAAACGCAACCCAGATTTTTAATTTTGTAGGATCCAGTATCGTGTCATTTTATGCTTGGCTGCTTCCTCACAAGTTTTTTCGCAATTAGTTACTGATAATTAGCACTTTCTAACACGAATCTCTATCTTCAATCCAAGTAGAAAAAGAAATGGACAAGCTGACTTCTAGCATGGTTCAATTAGGGCGAATGTTCCACATAAGAGCATTCAACTAAAATCATAATTTAGAAAAACAACAAAAACTTTGCTTTTTATTGTGGCTGTTCCCTTTGTCATCAGTATCCAGGTATTACTTTTGTAAATTAAGATCATTAAATTACATAACAGATGGGGATGCAACCAAACAAATACTATGACAGGAAGGTACTGCTTAACCTTTCTCATAGTCCATGCAGCAGGGTAGTCCATGCAGCAGGGTACCCACTTTGCATATCAATATCAACTTTGGTTACTCTGAAAGGGGCAATTAATTTAATAAAACGTGCTAACACCTTCATGCTTTCAAAATACAGTGAAGGGTAAAGAAAGGATTAATTCAGACACATAGGATGCTACTGCTAACGGAGTCCACATTTGCAGGCATATTTGCCATTACATCATATATTGCCTTGGATTTCCATTTTACCTTTTCTGCATCAGATAGATTTGTATTGAATCTTCACAAATGGGAATCATCAAGCCATTAAAGATTAGTAACAAAAGATGTCCTTTAAGAATTCATGACACATTAAAGATAAATCACATTCCAATTCTAAAATATAGTGTACATGACAATGATTGAATATGTTACCAGTTTGCAAAACTTTTGTCACTAATGTCAAGTGAGAGAAAGTTAATTTGTGAGGTCAGTGATCCTCTCTGTCAGGCGTCAGCGAGAGCTGCTACAGGGAAAGCAAAAGGGAGAAAAACAGTATCTATGTGAAGCAAAAGACTAATAATAGCAGCATACCTAACAACTACGGCCAAAAGAATCGCCAAACCTCCCTATCAATACAAAATTAGGATGCAAGAATTCATCCTGATTTTAGTGCATGCATAGACTATGACAATCTTCTCTTCTTAAAGTTGTCAAAATTCCCATCAAGCACAACAAGATCGTCTTCATCGTCAATTACTTGCAATTGCTTGTGATGCTTGGCTTCATCAGCAGCATTTGGAGTACTTGATTCATCAGCAAGTTTTCTTTTCTTTGGGGTTGAAACTATTTCTATCTCGTCATCCTTTTCAAATTCTACAGCTGTTATTGATGCATCTGCGGTGCTTGCACCATTACCAACAGACTTGTCTTTATTTTCTACTGCTGACACCGGTTGAGTCCATCCTGAGAGAACCATCCCATCAGGCTCTTTCTCCTCATCAAATTCCTCTCTGAATATATAAATCACCAACAAAACAGTCATTAGAACAAAGAAAAAAAAGACAAAAAGATTGATGAGGAAGGGAATGAAACTAGCTTAATGCAGCATGTGAGAGTAAAAAAGAAACACTACTAACTTACTATGCTCCCCTAGTATAGTAGTATTTGCTGCAAGGCAAGGAACAAGTATATTCAGAATACAAAATAGTATCAAGTAAAACCTGTGTTTGATGTTAATATTGCAAACGAATTCCTGTTGCATATCCTCTACCGTGAGCATTGTGCCCCCAGTTACTGGAGAAGGAAGCTCAGCTAGAACCTGACAAAGCCGGGAAACAGGTTAAATAAAAAAAATGTCATGTCATTTTCAAACCAAAGACAACCACCATACCTTCTCAAGGTTGGCAGCATAAATTGCAACCATGTCTTCCTCGACATCACCAGCTTCATAAAGCAGGTTTGAAGAACACATAATAAGAGGAAGGTTCATCCCAAGCTTTGCCTTGACAATCTTTTCAACTAAATCTTTCAACTTCGAACAGTTTGTATTTATTTCAAGTGATAACGGTGTCTGTTTCCATCAAATATGAATATATTGAGCGTGAGCATATTTTTAAGAATGACTTTAGGCAATAGATACAACAAGGGGAAATTTGGGCAAACCTCAGAGCAAACATAACAGGACTTGTTTGGGTCAAATGGCTCCACCGGCATAAGCAGCATGTTTCTTGATGGATGCTCCAGACAATATGTCATTCTATGAGATGTCCAGATAAGATTAGAAAAAACATTAAAAAATAGTAAAGCCAATGCTGACTTGTAACTTACACAGAGTAGTACATTATTAATGAAGAATTCATTAGAGAAGAAATGAGCACCAAGGAAAGAACAGGAAGGACAAGACAACCTCCAAACCAAAACTACAATCAACAAAAGGTAGAAGATACAGAAAATGAGGTCAGAGCAAAAGATCTTAGCAATCTAGGGACAAATTTTCCCTTAAAGATTGATGCCTTTTGCTCCAGCAAAAATCCAACTAAGAAAGCGCTGCCCATGCCCTCTAAGTTAATGATTATGGACCTGTTTGTCTGATTTTTTTTTGAGGAAGTGCTTTCTTAACTAAATACTATGCTTTTAAAAATTTATAATTATTATTTTTTTGAAATGTAAAAACCTTTCGAAAAAAAGAAGCTGTTTCACTTTTTCGCATATGCTAAAATTAACAGCTACTGGAAAGAAAATCTATAGAAAAGTTATATCACACAAAATCACTATTTTTAAGCTTAAAAATCAAACAAGCTCTAAATAAACTTCTTCAATCATAAGTTCATTCAGATTTATTTTAATACTGCTTCAGACTTGACAAGAATGATAATTATCATCAAGCATTCAAAACAAACAAAAGTAAACCGAGTGTAAGTTATATGATTTAGCACCAGCAACATGATTACACTATGAATTCTGTTTTCCCCTACCAAAAAATTATCAATGACCAGGAGGAATATATTTCCCCAAGGAATCTTTGGTTAATATTTATTAATGCTCCAATTTTAAACAAAGAATGTGCAGTAAGATGCATCACACTATACCTATAATTTTTAACATCATTTTGCAGCACTTTGATTGCTTCAATGACAATCAACCCAGCAATAACAGCATTTGTAGTCGCAACAGCATGCACAATATTACCAGCAATACCCTTAGCTTCAAAAAGGCTGTGCAGAGGGATACCAAATGAAGCAGCCCTTACGTTTGCAGCTGCAGTAACAAATTCTACAGCCAATTGATCATCTTTATCAAAACTTAGATTGCCAATGTCCTGCACAAAGATGCATTTAAAAATACCAAAACAAAGTAAAAAAGGATTTAGGGTTTAGTATCCAGAGGGCGATATAAAGATTACTACAATAGGATCACAACATCAAAATATCATTTCAGACCTTTTCCCTTTTTGTAAAAAACAGTCTCAGTGCTTCAAGAAATATTCTAGAATTTTCTACAAGACTCCAGATATCCTGTGGGTTCTTCATGCCCAAGGATGCCATGGCAGAAACTGAAAATCCATCATCAGATGTGCAACTTTTGTCCAAATTTCCATTTTGTTGAGACAGTTCATCAGACAGCACATCCTTGCTGTATATAGGTTTTGGTCTATTACGATTTTTCCATGTCTCTTCGTTAGACAAAGCTAATTCTATGTTGTACCCAAATACATGATCAAAAATTTTCCTTCCATATTGATCAATGTCTTCATCTTTCCTACGTTCAAATACATCCTCTACATTTTGAGATGAACTGGCAGCATCACTTGATCGAACATTTAAATCATTGTCCTGATTCTTGTCCCCAAATAACTTAGCAAAAAGTAGGTCTTTTGCCCACACAATACAGTGAACAAACTGCCAAACAACAACAACAAAAAAAAAAGAACTGAAGATTTAGAACACATTGATCAGAAGTTTGAAATAAATATCTAATTTCATAATTTCAATTGATGTTCAATTTGACAATGTCAAAGCCAATAGCTATGCATTCATCTAAGATATAACTAATAAAGTTTCCTTTAATAGTATGCTAAATGGTATCTACCCAGTAGCATCCATCAAGATACAACAATGCATTATAAAATTCCATTCAATGAAAATTCAAATAATCACACCCAACCTAAAATTTCCCAGGATGATCCCAAGTCCTATAGCTTTCATATTTTCAATGCTCCCTAGATACAAACTATTAAATGCCCAGCAAAAGAAAATGACTAACCAAAGGAATATACAGTAATTATTTGCATAGTAATACAAATTATCAAACTACAAAACTAAAAGATTCACAAACTACATGTTTGAAGGCACATCATTCAATACAACTCATATGGAATGCATTCTCACTAGTCTTTTAAATGTTTCTAATGATTTCAGTTCTGGATAAGAAAATACTCCTTTGGTGTACAAATGAAAATGAAAACCAACCCATACCTTTGATGGGGTACTTGTGATAGTACAAACTGGATACGTCTTGGGGGCTGGTTTTGGTTGACACTCATAACACTCTGTTCTTCCTTTGATATGTACAGTGACCTGTTTTCAATTAAAACTATATGACAATTATGATTGTAAAGATGCAACTTAGTATACCATAACAATTAACCATACAAACACATCGAAGTTGAAATCATATGGAGCCAGTAAATATTTAAAAGCTAGTAAAAAACAAGTTTTACATTCATGTTTGCCAAGGACAATGGTAGTATTTGTTGGCTCCAGATGATTTCAACTTCACTGGTAGTATTGCATCTTTGAGCAGGACATTGGCATTCATATTACAAACTTAGCAAAAAAAAAAACAGCAAATATAGATCTCAGACCACAAATGTCATACCAGAATAAATCAAAACTAATAACATAATTATTAAGAATTAAAGAATTTGAATCATTTTTTCAGAGGGTATAAATTGAATATTATGGCATTATTTGATCCATGTAGCTTACCCCACTTAGTGGGAAAAAGACTTGGTCCTTTTTTATTACTTTCAGAGGATGTAACTAAAAATCAGGATGAAGAAGGGTGCATTCACTTAAATTGTAGTGGACTACAACTGAACAGAAATTATAAATTTATTCGATAAAAAAATTTTGACAAGCATGAGGCATAAAACACATTGCTTTCCCAATCAAAAGATTGCTTATCAAGGCATAGAACAATTAAAATCAGTTACAAGTCAGACATGGTCACTGGTTTTCATAGCTAGATTTATATACATAGCAGGACGACTACTATTTAGAAATTTTATATACAAATTAAATAATTTTTACATATATATAACTGCTAAAAATTATAAAAAAAACAAACCAAAACCATGACATGTTCATAATTAAAAGTAAAAGTCATAGCTTTTGAGCAAAACATACAAGTAAAGTAAATAGCAATAAAAATAAATAAAACCCCCAAAACAGTGTTTTTTTTATGGCAAATTTGATTTTTTTTTAAAGTTTCACTCTAATACCGCTATTAGCACTACGGCTGCAATTTAAAAACACTCCACTATTCAAATTTTGTAGCAGCCTGTGACCGCTCCATTATTGATAACCATGATAAAAATAACCATTAAACAGGAAAACATGCATTCAGAATCTACCTAATACTGCTAAAATACAACCTCATAATGAAAATGGATATCAATAATCAAGAAGGCCAATAAATCACCTGTCCAAGGAACCCAGTAGTTCCACTTTCAACCAAAGGAACATTAGCTGCCAAGCACAAGCGATTCACATGTCGGCGTGCATCTAGATTGTCAAGCCCATTTAGAACAACATTAAATTGCTTAAAAAAGTCCACATTGAATTCAGGATCTTTGACATTTGCATGGTAAGGTGTAATTTTTATGTGGGGCCTAAATTTTAACACAGCATCCCTAGCAACCTGGTCAAAGACTCCATCAGATGGACATATAACAGAAACCTATACCAGCAACAATAACAACCATGACATATTAACTTACTTTAGCCTTGGATTGCCCAACATGGGATTGTCGAAATAAAAATTGTCTGTTCAGATTACTGACTTCTATGGTATCCATGTCAATCTGCACATTGGAAATAAAAGCATATTAATAATGTGTACAAGCATATCCATAGCTTATAACCATGATACAACTAGTTCAAGAGACAATTTACAAAATGGCATCCTGTAATCAACTGCCTCTGAGTGTGCCCGCACCCCACACCCAAAACACCAGCTTCTCACAAATAGATGAAATGCATATTCAATTACAACTACTATTCACAGTGGATTGACTGACCATCGACAGTATAACTACCAACTCACAGTGACAATGCACAAGCCTCAACACAAGGACACAGGAACACAAAAATTAGTAGAATCTATAATGGGGCACAGCATTCTACAAAAAGGAATTATTCATTGGCAACAAGGATAAAGATAAGTATAACACTAGAACTACACTTGAAAGTTGAGATTTTCAACCCTAAGGCTAAACTACTCCCTTAAACAACTCTTCAGCTCCTTAAACTACAAATCAAGGAAACAATCCATTGAAATTAACTTTGAGACTGAAAAGCGCGACTAAGTTCAGTTATGCTTAGTGATACGTCAATTCCAACAAGCAGGAGTCTAACCTACAATAAATAAATAAAAATGTATGTAAAGAGAGATTTAACAATATAATACACATCCTTGTTCAAAAAGAGTATGACACGTGGATATGCCGCTATTAATTGCTCCATTTAGTAGCAATAAATTCATTCTGGGTACCTCCAGCATTCAGCAGATCTGTCATTCCAATTCACCCTTGGTCTAACTTGCAGCCATAACAAGGTCATTACACTTGTACCGTTGCCATCCACATCACAATTCACAAACCACCGTTAATTAAACTATAATTTTTCTCATGTATAAGCTATAATTATGGTAACCAAAACCCAAGAATAAATATCAAGGCCCACAACCGCCAACAGACTTTCAATTTTTCTTACACCTATCATCCCAAAAACAACTGAAGCCAACAAACTAAAAGCACCAACAGAGTCCACCTACACAGTACAACCAACCATGTGCTCTGTACTTCCCAATTACAGTTCATACCAAAGCAGAAAAATTGCTCAAACCATACCAAAAAATAAACCACACTAACCCTCCCAAATGCGAAAACAAGAGGAAATTGAATAGCATGTTCAAGCACTCCAATTAAGAGCTCAATCTGTCCAATATTTTCTCACAGCACAAGCAATAAATAACTCACTCTCACAAACACTTCCTTCACATGAACAATAACCAATTAACTCACCAAACAACGGCGCAAAACTTTTGAACCACCCATCTCATAGAACATGCAAAGCTCAAAATTCTAACAAAAATCCCAAACCCGGAACGACACAAAACCCTAACAAAAATTTAAATTTTAAAAAACCCCTTACAACTAAACCTGGAAATCCCAAAAGAGAGAAAACTAACGATGTGTATGTCAGGGAAACCGGAGAGAGCAAGAGTCTTTAGGAGCTCGCAGCCAATTCCGCCAGCGCCAACCATGAGCACTTTTGCTTCCTGAAAAAAACAAAACGACATGAGAGGCTTCAAAACGACAAAGAGAAAGGGCTAGCTTTGCCTTGCATGGGTTACCTTAATAACAGAGGAAGAAGAAGAGTCCATTGGAAGTGAGAGTGAAGAGAAAAGGGTGAACTGAAGAAGACAAAGAATAAGAAGAAGAAGAAGAAGAATGGTTGAAAAATCATGAGAGAGAAGAAAAAACGGTGTTTTAAAAAGAAAGAGAAAGAGGGGATAGTGGCTGCGCGGAATCGAACCGTTGACGTGAAGGAAGTGGCGGAATCTAAAAGAGTCTTCAATGAAAAAGCGCCAAACTCTTCAATGAATCTTTATCATACAAAAACAAATTATAAAAACACAGTACTAAAGAACCACACCACACCGTTACTGTTTGACCATGCTCAAAATTGTTTGCTTAAAGTTATAAATTTCACTTAATTTATTGCACGGCCAATGCACAATAAATAATAATACAAAATTTATGATAAAAAATAATTATTAAATTAATATGCATAATATATGTTTAATAAATTTTTAATAAAATTATGTGTCACTTAAAAATAATGAATAATTTAATTATTTTATTTTAAAGTGATTTTAATTTTCTTAAAAAAAATTATTTGCTCTAAACATAGATTGAAAAATGAAGCACCTCTTTTACAAATAAAGAATATCATTAAAATAATTTAATAAAAACAAAAAAGTTAATAAAGATTTACAAAAATTAACATTTGAATCTTAAAATCATAACAAATGTTAAAAAAATTACATAAACTTGTCGAATGGTAATTAATAATATTTTATACTTTTAAAAAAAATTGTAGTCAATATTTTTAAAAATCAGTATGATTTCTATCACTTTTCGAACATAAAAATAAATTAATAAAATAATATGTAATCATTTATAGAATGCAAGCTGATACAAATTTTATTTTCACTCAAAATTTTTAAATGCATGGATAAATAATAATAATAATAATGCAATTTTTATAATTAAAAAAAATTAAGTAAATAAGTTAATATGTATAATATATGTTAAATAATATTTTTTGTAAAAATAAAATTTCAATAAAGAGCATATATGCTACTAACATAAAAAGTGGATAAAAAAATCAGAAAGTACTTAAAAAATGTAATATACAAAACTAAATAAAAAGAGTTAAATTAAAATACAATTATAGTATAAAATAATTTCATCATTGATAATAACTAGTTTATTGCTCATTCAATGCATGGTAGATAATAATAATAATAATAATAATAATAATAATAATAATAATAATAATACAAATAATTCTAGATTTATTATAAAAGATAAAATACATTAAAAATAAATAATTAAATTAATATTTATAATATAAGTTAAATAATATTTTTTAATTATAAAAAAATAAAAATATATGTGTCATTTAAAATAATTTTAATTTTATTAATAAAATAACTTATAGACTGCCACAGTCATAATTTCACCAATAAAAAGATAAAGCATTTTTTCTATAGATAAAGAATATCATTAAAAATTTTAACAAAAAACAAATAATTTGATAAAAATTTACAAAAATTAATATTTGAATTTTAAAACTATAACGCATGTTGAAAGCTTCCTTTATGTAAACTTGTGAAGTAAAAATTAATAATATTTTATAACTTAGAAAGGAAGCAGTATTTAATGTTTGTTATAAAAAAAATATTAGTAACACATTTTTTAAAACTCTCACAATTTATTAAAATTAGTAAAGTATGAAAAAAATAACATTAATTTAAAAATGAGACTCACATAATTTTTATAGTTTTAAAATTTTATTAAATAAAAAAAATTGTATGAAACAGTGTATTGTTAACATTTCTCTTTGTTATAATTAGCATAATTTTTACCACTTTGCGAATATAAAAATAAACTGAAAAATAAATTTTAATAATCATATCTTAAATGCAAGCTCATACGAACTTTATTTTCACTTAAAAAAATAAATTAATAAGTACTGACTTATTTTTGTTATACAAATTTAAGCTCTAAATATAACAAAAACAAACATATTAAATATATACTTTTTTGTAAGTCATAGACATAATTGATGAAAATAAACAATAGAATTTTCTTGTTAACAATATAATATCCAATTGTTTAATAAGATTCAAGAAAAATCAGTTAAGCTTAATATAAAATTATGCAATAAACAAAATAAAAATGAATATATTTGGATGAATATTATATATGTTTGTGTATAAAAAAAAATTAATTTAATGAATGCCTTGAGATGAAAATTACACTTTTCAATGTTAGAAAAAATAAAGAACGAAAGAAATGTTAAATGTTATAAAAAGTATGAGAAAAAAGAAAGAGTTTAATTTCATACTTTTAAATATAATCATAATTGTATCGGAATAAAAATCAATGTTAACAGTGTTAAAAGAATCTAAGAAGATAAAAGTGACACTATATTTTAAAATTTTATTTAATTATCAAATTGTAAAGAAAAAATACGTCATTAACAAGTACTTATTTATTTTGTAAATGACAATTATGTTGATTTAGTATTTATGAATTTGTTTAATTTTTTAATATAAAAAATGTATCTTATTCATAAATATTAGAAGTTTTATGTCACATATACAAAATCAAATGTCTCGTATTAAACTATAAACTTACTAAACAAAGTTTGTTTTATGGATTTTTATGCTTTCCACTGATAGCTTCAAAAAATTATTTAACACCGATTTTATGTTTATTTTTAAAAAATATAAAAAAGTAAATTATACATAAAAAAAAAATAGTTATATCTACACTTACATAAATATTAAATTATGTAATTAATATATATATATATTAATTACATAATTTAATATTTATGTGAGTATATATATATATATATATATATATATATATATATATATAAATTTACTAATTCATATAAGAATAATCTCCTTAATCCTTTGTAATTTTGATATTAATGGATTTTGAAAGATTTTAGTGTTTAGGTATTTATTTTACTGTTTCAAAATATTTCAAAAATAAAGTTATTGATTAAAATCGAATTCAATATAAGAATAGCATTTTGGAATCATTAAGACATGTAACAATAAGTTAGGAATCTATTATTAGTTATTGAAAAGAAACTAGAATCTTGTAAAGAAGCAAAGTTGGATGTGAACTGGGGTTGATGAACTGGATAAGTCAAATTAAAAGAAGATAAAGACAATTGTGAAAAATAAGATAAAAAAATATTACTTAAATTAGGAAAGATGTTAAAAGAAGAAAGATATTTAATGTGTAAGGATAAAAAAAATCATAAAAAAATGAATAAAACTAGTTTAAAAATGAAAAAAAATGAAACATGAATATAAATGTGGCTTTGAAAAGTTATTAAAATTAGATTGAAATAAGAGATGTGATTCATTAAGATGTTCTTAATGTAATTTGACCAAATAAATAGATTTAACAAAGGATTCTACGAAACAAAAAAGAAAAGATAAGGACTTGACTAAAATATACTATAGAGATCTTGCGTAACTTTAGCAAAAATATCATTAAAGATATTAATGAAATATGTCAATAAAAGAATAACTTAAGGATGTGGCCTATAAAATACTATTATTCTAAATTTAATTGAACAAAACTTAGAATCTACGAAGAAGGAAAGCAAGCTCATGTACAATATTAGAGGAGTGATAAAAAATTAATTAATGATTAAATATTTAGATGAGGTAAGCATACAAGAATGTGACTTGATAAGATATGTTTGATCTATATTTCAATAAATTAAACAAAAAGTTAAACATCTAATTCGTCTATTTTATCCATATTTCTTTATGTGATGCACATGATTTTTATGAACTTTTATGACTATAATTAAATCTAATTTTTCCTAAAGTCTCATCAGTTTAAAATCACTTCCTATGACATTTCATTTTTGTGTTCAAATGGTTTTAAGTTTTAGAAAACTGTACTAATTGCAACGCCAAGGTCACTAAATTTTGACTAATTTAGTTATAGCTAAGACTTCATGTTCAACAGATATTCACTTTTTTGGGCAAAATTTGACACATGTAAATGATTAAAAAAAATACTCAAATTCTTAAATCTAAACGTCTAATATAGTCTTTTTATTTACACACCATTAAAAAAATATTTTCTATAATAAATTTTTACATCAATAAATAATCAACTGATTTAATAATAAGAACTTTTAAATATTGGTTGTCAAATTCACGTATGTACAAAATACTTTTTCTATCAATTCTAGAAATAATTGACGTAAAGCTTTTTACATTAATAATTTTTTAAAATGATGTAAAACGTTTTATAATATTTTGCTTTTATAATCATAAACTTTGAAAGAAATAATTTTTGACACAAAATTTTGATTTATGCAAATTATTTGTCTATTTTGTATAATTTTTTTAGACTTATCCAATCTAAACTTTTAAACTTTCTACATTCAACAAAAAGTGTAAAAATATAAAAAAGATTAGCAAAATGAGTAAAACATTGAAATTTTGAAAAATAATTTTGTTCAAACCCCCTTTGGGTTTTAGATTGGATAAATCTCAAAAATTTATATGAAATAAATATATAATTTGTATAAATCATAGTTTTCTGTCAAATGTTATGTCCCTCTAAAGCTTATGACTATGAAGGCGATAAATTGAAAAACTTTTTATATAAGTTCAAAAAATAATCAATGTGAAAAGTACTTTATACATGAGTTATTTTTGGAATCGATGTAAAAAATATTTATTGAACTAATGTAAAATCAATTCAAAGTAAAAGTTTTAGAAAAATGGGTCAATAAAATAACATAAATTGAAGAGAATGAATACAAATGTTTACTTACATTCTCAACTTTTTCAAACTTTTGATAGAGCTTTTGGCTACTTGATTGACGATATGACATTAATAATAAACATTGCATATTTTTATTAGGTACATAAGTGATTTTATCATGCTTTTATTTTGTATTTTCTTCTTCATTAACCTATTGGTACAGGACATTGACAAATATTACATATTTTTTATTTAAAAACTCAACAAAAATGAATTTTTGAGTAAATATTGAACAATATTAATGATAAACAATGCATATTTTTCATTTATAGATTCAACAAAGATTAAATATTGAGTAAATATTGATAAACATTGATGATGAACATATGAATATTAACACATCAGATGAACATTGACGCCATTAAAAAATTATTTGCTAAACTTTTAGAGTAATATTGACACTATTAAAATATTTTTGCTAAACAAATGAAAGTTTTAATACTATTAACATATTAAGAAAAATACTTTTTACATCGATTATTCATAATAATTGATATAAAAGGTATTGACTTTGTATGACGTCATTATTTATATCAGTTCTTTGACTAATGTAAAGACTATTTTAACTAACATACAAAACTTTTTTTTGCTACTAGTGATATTTTCTTGCATGATGTGCATGAGTAAACATTATGAACTTTAAAGTTTAAAAACGAATCATCCCAATATTTTCCTAGCACCATCTAATGTGTCTATTTTATCCATATTTCTTTATGTGATGCACATGATTTTTATGAACTTTTATGACTATAATTAAATCTAATTTTTCCTAAGGTCTCATCAGTTTAAAATCACTTCCTATGACATTTCATTTTTGTGTTCAAATGGTTTTAAGTTTTAGAAAACTATACTAATTGCAACGCCAAGGTCACTAAATTTTGACTAATTTAGTTATAGCTAAGACTTCATGTTCAACAGATATCCACTTTTTTGGGCAAAATTTGACACATGTAAATGATTAAAAAAAAGTACTCAAATTCCTAAATCTAAACGTCTAATATAGTCTTTTTATTTACACACCATTAAAAAAATATTTTCTATAATAAATTTTTACATCAATAAATAATCAACTGATTTAATAATAAGAACTTTTAAATATTGGTTGTCAAAATCATGTATGTACAAAATACTTTTTCTATCAATTCTAGAAATAATTGATGTAAAGCTTTTTACATTAATCATTTTTTGAAATGATGTAAAACGTTTCATAATTTTTTGCTTTTATAATCATAAACTTTGAAAGAAATAATTTTTGACACAAAATTTTGATTTATGTAAATTATTTGTCTATTTTGTATAATTTTTTTAGACTTATCCAATCTAAACTTTTAAACTTTCAACTTCTACTAAAATGATTCAACAAAAAGTGTAAAAATATAAAAAAGATTAACAAAATGTGTAAAACATTGAAATTTTGAAAAATAAGTTTGTTCAAACCCCCTTTGGGTTTTAGATTGGATAAATCTCAAAAATTTATATGAAATAAATATATAATTTGTATAAATCAGAGTTTTCTGTCAAATGTTATGTCCCTCTAAAGCTTATGACTATGAAGGCGATAAATTGAAAAACTTTTTATATAAATTCAAAAAATAATCGATGTGAAAAGTACTTTATACATGAGTTATTTTTGGAATCGATGTAAAAAATATTTATTGAACTAATGTAAAATCAATTCAAAGTAAAAGTTTTAGAAAAATGGGTCAATAAAATAACATAAATTGAAGAGGATGAATACAAATTTTTACTTACATTCTCAACTTTGTCAAACTTTTAATAGAGCTTTTGGCTACTTGATTGACGATATGACATTGATGATAAATATTGCATATTTTTATTAGGTACATAAGTGATTTTATCATGCTTTTATTTTGTATTTTCTTCTTCATTAACCTATTGATACAGGACATTGACAAACATTACATATTTTTCATTTAAGAACTCAACAAAAATGAATTTTTGAGTAAATATTGAACAATATTAATGATAAACATTGCATATTTTTCATTTATAGATGCAATAAAAATTAAATATTGAGTAAATATTGATAAACATTGACGATGAACATATGAACATTAACACATCAGATGAACATTGACACTATTAAAAAATTATTTGCTAAACTTTCAGAGTAATATTGACACTATTAAAATATTTTTATTAAACAAATGAAAGTTTTAATACTATTAACAGACATTATTAAGAAGAATATTTTTTACATCGATTATTCATAATAATTGATATAAAAGGTCTTGACTTTGTATGACGTCATTATTTATATCAGTTCTTTGACTAATGTAAAGACTATTTTAACTAACATACAAAACTTTTTTTTGCTACTAGTGATATTTTCTTGCATGGTGTGCATGAGTAAACATTATGAACTTTAAAGTTTAAAAACGAATCATCCCAATATTTTCCTAGCACCATGTATCATCTTAAAAACACTTCCCATATTATTTGTTTTGTGTTCTAACATTTTCATGCTATACAAAATTGGAAAAAGCATAATAATTACAACACTAACATTCCTTAATTTTGACGGTTTCAAATTTAGCTAAAATCTAGTGGCTAAAACGTATATATCTTTTTAAACAAATTAAAACAAAGCATGACTCATTCAAAAGTTAAAAATGCTCTCAAAATTTCAAATTCAAACGTTTGATATAACTTTTTGTCCATATTTTTCTGTGTGGGTGTGTGTGCAAGGAAATTTTATAAATTTTTATGACCAAAATTAAAATTTTTCAAATTTTTTCTGAAGTTCTGTAACAACTTAGAAATATTGATTTTTTCAAAAATTTTATTGCTTTCAAGCTTTATATAATTGCAAAAAATATGTTTATTGCAACGCCAATGATCAATTTTCAATTTTCATGACCATAACAATAAATTTCCAAATTTTTCTTAGAGACCCTTAACAACTTAAAATTTTATAGGTCCTTTATTTTATCGATCAAATTTGACTTGATCCAATTAAGTAGACCCATTATTATTGTGTAGAACTTTTAATAAAATTTGCCATTTCTATACAAAAGAATAATATATTCGAGGATGTGGGTAACTGGACAAATGAGGTATGTGAAGTAAGACTTTAAGTGAAGACGAATGATAATAATCTCACTTGTCAAATATGTGGAGAAAAAAATGAAAACTACTACACATTTTATGTTCTTACACAAGCTCTCATCTAGGATTTAACATGAATGCTTTAATTGGTTAGTATACTAAGTTGAAGGAATTTTATTTCTCTATTTTTATTGACTTAATGTGCTCTTTGTATTTTTCAACCCTTAATATATGAGTTATAACATTCTTGTACTTGTTATCTGTTGATTTTTTTTAATGATAAAGAAAATTAAAAGATAAAATAGAAACAAAAATTTGTATACCAATAAATAACACTTTCTCCGAGTATTTAATTTATTAATAAATAAAATAAAAACAAAAATCTTTATATAAATAAAGAACACACTTTTATATTTAATACAATTACTTTCATTGATATTCTAGTTCATACTATAATTTAAGTTGTTGAAACAACTCCTATAAGTTAATTTATATGTTAAATCTTAATTTAGTCTCTCTTTTTTTAAAATTTATAGTTAATTTATTATATAAAATATTTTTAAATTTTTAAAAAATAGAATATAATAAAATTTATATATTTAAATTTTTTAAAATATAAAAGATTAAATTATATATTTAATCCTTACTATTAATATTTATTTATGAATTAGTCATATGTTAAAAAATTATATTTTAATCTTTATACTAGTGTTTTGTTATGTTTTATTTTCTATTATTAACAATGTTATAACAACATAAACTAAAATATAATAAAATATTTATATTACCAACAGAGATAGATTTAACTTAAGTGACAAACGGTTTAATATCTGCTTAAGTAAGATCTTGTATTTGAGTTTTTGTGTATATAAAAATTTTTAATAGTAAATTTATCTACTATATTTAAGTATGTAATTCGAGTCGTATTTAAATTAAACTAGATAAAAAAAAATATATAACATTTTTTAAAAATAAAAACTAATATATAAATGAGTATTAACAATAAATATCAAATATATATTTTAATTATAAATAAAAAATATGACCTTGTCTTAAAAAAGTTAAAAATAAAATACAAAATAAAAGAATTATAAATTTTTAAGAGATTATAAATTTATTTATTTAAATCAAAGATATTTATTTATGATTTAAAATTATACATATTAATTAACATTAAATTTATTAATTTAATAAATTAATAAAAAAATATAATTATAGTTAATCAACTATTAAAAATAATTTGGTACAATAAAGACATTTTTATTATAATTAAAAAAATAGATATGTCTATATATATTTATAAATAAAATTAAATATTAATGTTATATCAATTAAATTATATATTTTGTTTTTACTGTTATTATTTATTTATAAATTAATTTCTATGCTTAAAAAATAGTTTAATTCTCACTCTTGTAAAAATATTTAGAATTTTTGGGATGATTATAAATTTATTTTTTTATGACTTTTTTGGTTTAACATATTTTAAATATCGTATATTATATACATAAGTATAAATATAATTTGAAAGGTAAAATTTAATTTAATATTAATTTATCAACTAATAACAAAAGAATTTAGAGATTTAGAAAAAAATATTTATTAAAAATATTATAAAAGAATATAAGAAAAAATAGTTTGTCAATTAAATTAAAAATATAAAGTAAATAATATTGAATAGAAATATAATCATATTAATTGTTAATGATATAATTAAAATATTTTAAACTATTTACTTGATTAAAAAAATTTAAACCCATAAGTGCATCTAACGAAGTAAAAATACAATTAAATCAATAAACCAATAGGCGCGCACACAGGAATTAACCACAGCCAATGAAAACCAATAATTTGTGCACCCACACGGTAAGTGCAAAACACAGAATGATTACCCTCTCTCCAACTTAACCAAATGCTATTTGTCAGTCAGTAACTTCCTTCCGAGTAACAATAGCAGAAAGGGAAAATCAAAAGTCTCACTCATAAATTCTGCAATGCTTTTCACTCACACTACTACTTCTTCTTCTTCACTCTCTTAGGTATTCTTCATTCTCTTCCTTCCTATTTTCTCTATTCAAAGAAAAACGCTTATATTCGGTCATTTTCTTCTGATACTTCTTTTTTTGTTTTATAAATTTCTCCTTAGCTTTCAGTTTCTTCGTTCATAATCTTCAATGGAATCCGCTGTTGATGTATTAACAGCTAAACGCCTCTCTCCGACCGGTATTCTTCACTTCCTTCTCAATTTTTTTCATTTTTTAATCAATTTTGACGTAAATATTATCACCTGGTACAGTATTTGCATTCCATGCGTTTTCCTTTTTAAACTTTTCCCCTTATAGATTATCGTTTTCGGTGTATTATTTGCGTGTTTAAAGCTAAAGTCATGAACCTTTGACTTGTTTAATTAATTCGTAATAGTCATTTTTTTAATTTTTTTTTAGGATTTAGCATGAATCACCAGTGTTTGTTGCTTTGTTTCTTTTTTTGTTTTGGGTGTGTGTTGCTTTATATGTGGTTTATAAAGTTCTATGGGACCATTCTTGCTTAGCCATTGCCAATATGGTAAAATGCAACTTTGACCTGTATTTTGTAGCCCTTTTCATTTTTGCAACACTTTCTTGTTACTGTCTGTAGCTGAGGGGTAGTCTGAGACTGTGTGGTGATGTCAAATAGCTTTATGTCGGTGGTCATGGGCTCATGGCAGTTCATTGGTCGAGTCGGAGGTAGATGTAGTGTTTGAGATGGCAATCTAATGTTGAAGTTAGTTTCTGTGAAATGAGGGGTATGCGTGATAGGTAGAAAAGTGCAAAATACAATGCACAATCACCTTGTGTGCTATTATTTGGTCCATAGTGACATAATGGTTCACATATCCTTCCTGATAAAAAAAAACCACAAAATGATGACTCCAAACATTTTATTTTACAATTTATTTGGTTTGATTTGTTTCTGACTGAAGTTAAAACTGAATTGGTCTTTGTTTAGTATCACACTTGAGTCCAGTTGAAGTAAATTATCCTTCGGAATTTTTGCTTTTGCTATTGTACTTGTATTGTGTTTCCTCAGGATGTATGCTGTGCCATGCACCTAGTGGATCATGACACGCTGCCCAATATTCATTATATAACATTGAGGCAATATCTGCAGTTTCTCTGAGTATATTTGCATTTTCTGAAACAGGGTTTTCTCTTGATGGACTTAAAAGACTGAAATTATCAAGTGATAGCCCGCCATACCCAGCTCATGATAAAATCGAACCAAAGACACCTCAGAATTCAAATGTTGTAGAATACAGTAACCCATTCGTAATATCTGATGTTCTGGATCGTTTAGAGAGTGGAAAGTTTGGAAGTGTCACAAAGGACATAGAGGCCCTTATAGCCCGGAAAATGCAAATACTGAGCCCTTACTTTGGAAAATATCCCAGACTTGTTAGTCAATTATTGAAAGTGGTAACGAACCATGACGAAGGAACTCCTAAGTGGGTACAAGTTACTGGTGTGTCAGATGAATTGGATCAAAAGGTCATAGATTTGGAGGGGGAGCATATAAAAAAGGATGTTCCTGCAGCACCAAATCCTGTTGTGATTATTGATTCAGATGAGGAAGATGATAATGATAAAAAATCTATTCTTTCATTTCATGAAGTCATGTTGCCAACAGTAGCTGCACCGTCTCCAGCATTGAAGATGATTGTAAGTTTTCCCTTGTTTTGGTAATTATTTGAGTGCATGTTTGGAATGGCATTGATTTACTTGAACGTGGATCCAGTTAACACAACAAGATTTTATGTTGTAAATGTGTTTCAGAATTTTCTACTGTGAAACCAAACATGCACTAAATATGCATGAGCTTTTATTTGGAATGTAATAGTAGCATGCTCCATTGAGGGCTGATTTGGCTGAATTGTGGCAATTCATTTTTAACATTTGTGGCAGAAGGTTCTTGTAAAATATCATTGATTCTAATTATTTTTTTCTTGAATTCTGTTCCTTTCAAGAATATATTGCCTTAATTTTTGAATATTACAAAGCAGATTCTTCTGGAGATGAAGAGGCTATTGCTATGACTTTGTCTGACATACGTTCAGGAGATGTAGTTTATATTGTTTTAAAAGTTAATTGTATATTTCATATACCCATCATTCATTTATGACCTGTTCTATATGTTTTACTTTTTGGCACATTATGTTGGTGTGCCATATATACCTCACCACTACACTTATTTTATGCTATTCTGTAAACACTAGAGAGATTTCTGCATAGCTCCCCTAAAAAACACTTTATCTCTGGTTCCTTGTCATAAAATTTAATGATATATTTCTCCAAGTTTCACAGAAATTTGACTTTTCACCTCAAGTAAGGTTTGTAATCATTGGTTATCTTGCTTGACTTGAATGTTCTGATGCAAAATAAAACTTCCTGTACTTTTACTCATTTGCAGTACACTAGGTACCTGTGCAAGTGATAAGGTTGAAAGTGAAAATAACATATGTATTTGGATTTATATTTTATCTAAATGTTGAGCTATTTCTATCTTTTTTCCACTTACTCCTGCTATGCACACATTAACATTGAAAAATGAATAGTGTGTTACGATGTTAATATATGAATGTTTCCATTTTTTTCAGAATATATGTAAAAAATTTTCATTTGGATCACTGTGTTTGCTTATAGGTAGCTTACTTTGTAAGCTTTTATTTATTTGGATTTAAATTTGTAGCTACATTTGAATGCAAGTTTTCTCACTGACGTGCTTTACTATTCTATGCATTTTAGGGGTATCACACACCCATTCCTTATCGTGGAGAAAGTGAAGATCTAAAAATTCAGACAAGTACTGATGAAAAAAATAAAGGTAAAGGTGTTTACATTGGTGTACAGGAAGGAGAAGATCATCAGGTCAATGCTGAAGATGATGGTCTAGATGATATTTGGAAGGAGATGTCGATGGCCATAGAATGTTCCAAGGTATCTTACATTCTTACTTCAATTTGTTTTTACAATTCATTAAGAATAACTGTCTTTGTAAAATTGTTTATCTTCTCATTTGTGAAAATTTTTCATGTCATTTAATTTGTACTGCTTCCCTAATATCTATGTGTTAAGGGTAGCTGATACAACTGATGACACATTTTTCTTATGATAAGGGGAAAAACTATGTCAGAATGGACGACTGTGGGGAAAATAAATTGATAGATACAGAGTTGTGACATATTTCCTTCTTTGAGTGGGGTTGTTAAATAGATTATTCATTGATTTATGTAGAAGACTGTAAACAATTTTGTAGATTTACAGTGTGAACAGTGTGCCCGGCCCATTTCTACTAGGCCTAGCCAAATATAGTATCGTTATTTACGTATTTTGCAATTTGCATTACAGTACGGTAGTTCATGAAATGCATATTGAATGTAATTTTATGTATTGAAATATTGTGCATTATAGCACGCAATTTTCGCTGTTGGCCTCCATTATTTTGCTCTCTCACTTAATCTTTCTGTGTTATACCTTCTGTATGCAAATAACATATAAGGCTCCCCATCATGTGTAAACAGTAAGTATGCTTTTATTTTTTGCTTAAGAAAATTACTTGTACACATGTCTAAGTAATTTAACTTTGAGTACATTATTTATTTCTTAAATTCTACCGCAAATATAGTTTTTCAGACTTCAGAGATCCTTTTGCATTGATTTAGTTTGATTTTACGTTTATTAGGATGTTTCCGAGAATCCTCTGCCGGATGAAGAAGTGAACAAAGATGAGGACTGTGATCATTCTTTTGTTTTAAAAGATGATCTTGGTTATGTTTGTCGCGTTTGTGGAGTTATCGACAGAGGAATTGAAACCATATTCGAGTTCCAGTACAAGGTTAGACTCTTGTTTCTGCATTAATGCTTTTTTGGTTATAAATTTTGGTTATAAAAACTTTATGAATGTGTGAATTGTGTCTTTAAGTATGGGGCTTGAAATTAAATGTACTGAGAATGTTTGAACAGGGCATAAAAATAAGAAAAGTGAAACAGGTAGAAACTTATTAGGTTGAATTCTTGTAATAATTTACAGTTTCCATACAGGGTCCTTGTGGGAAAATGTTTTTTTTTTTTTTTTTATTCAATTTTATTTTCTTTAAGGACTCAGGAACCTCTATATTAAACTAAAATAATATAATAGTAGGTAGACCATTCATATCATGTAGGCTTAATTGCTTTATAAAATAATGGCTAGTTCATAATTTCCATGATACACTCACACAGACTGGACTAAAATATCAATATGAGATTACTTATGGTTGGGACGGTTAAGTGTTCAAAACTGATTTTTTATATTATCATGTTAATTCAATTGAAGGTTAAAAGGAGCACTAGAACTTATGCATCTGATTCATGGAATCCCAAAGAAAAAGATGTATTTGGAATTAATGTTGCTGAAGATGATCTCATGGTAACTGAAATCTCAGCACATCCTAGACACATGAAACAAATGAAACCCCATCAAGTTGAAGGATTCAATTTTCTTGTTAGAAACCTTGCGGGTGACCATCCTGGGGGCTGCATCTTGGCCCATGCTCCTGGATCTGGTAAAACATTCATGATAATCAGTTTCATGCAAAGTTTTCTTGGCAAGTATCCTAATGCTAGACCTCTAGTGGTGCTTCCTAAGGGAATATTGTCAACTTGGAAAAAGGAGTTCCAAACATGGCAAGTGGAAGATATACCATTATATGATTTTTACACTGTGAAGGCAGATAGCAGATCTCAACAACTTGAAGTGTTGAAGCAATGGATGGAGCAGAAGAGTATCCTTTTCTTAGGATACAAACAGTTCTCCTCTATTGTCTGTGATAATGGAACTAACAATACATCGATTTCTTGCCAAGAGATATTGCTTAAGGTTCCTTCAATTCTCATTTTAGACGAGGGACACACTCCAAGGAATGAAAATACTGATATGGTACAGTCCCTTGTGAAAGTACAAACACCTAGAAAAGTTGTACTGTCAGGAACACTTTATCAGAATCATGTCAGGGAGGTATTTAACATCTTAAATCTTGTGCGGCCAAGGTTTTTAAAGATGGAAACATCTAGGCCTATTGTCAGGCGCATTCATAGCAGAATACATATACCTGGTGTGAGAAGCTTCTTTGATTTAGTTGAAAACACTTTGCAGAAGGACACAGATTTTAAAAGGAAAGTCGCTGTCATACAAGATTTGCGTGAGATGACAAGCAAGGTACTTCACTATTATAAAGGAGATTTTCTTGATGAGCTTCCAGGTCTTGTTGATTTTACTGTGGTACTCAATCTTACCACTAGGCAGAGACAAAAGGTTGAGGAATTAAAAAAGTTATCTAGAAAGTTCAAAATATGTTCCGTTGGCAGTGCTGTCTATCTGCATCCTGAATTGAAAGCTATAGCAGAAAAATGTGGTGAGAATTGTATATCTGATAATATAATGGATGATCTAATTGAGAAACTAGATGTGAGAAATGGAGTGAAGTCGAAATTCTTTCGCAACATGCTAAATCTATGTGAATCAGCTGGGGAGAAGCTTCTGGTGTTTAGTCAATATCTCTTACCCTTGAAATATTTAGAGAGGTTCACTATGAAATGGAAAGGCTGGAGTCTTGGAAGAGAAATCTTTGTAATCTCAGGGGAATCAAGCTCTGAACACCGAGAATGGTCCATGGATAAATTTAACAATTCTCCTGATGCTAAAGTCTTCTTTGGCTCAATCAAGGCATGTGGAGAGGGTATATCATTGGTTGGGGCATCCCGCATAATTATTTTGGATGTCCATCTCAATCCATCGGTTACTCGCCAAGCTATTGGTCGTGCATTCAGACCAGGGCAGATGAAGAAAGTATTTGTGTATCGGTTGGTAGCTGCTGATTCTCCTGAAGAGGAAGATCACAGCACTTGTTTCAAGAAGGAATTGATTTCAAAAATGTGGTTTGAATGGAATGAGTATTGCGGTGATCGAGCTTTTGAATTTGAGGCAGTTGGTGTGAAAGAGTGTGGTGATCTCTTTCTTGGAAGTCCATTGTTAGGGGAAGATGTAAAAGCTCTGTATAAAAGGTCAGTGATTATTCTTACCCTTTTTGCATGTTATATGCCAATCACAGAGTTATTTCCTAATACTTGTTTTATCTGTTTATGTCAGGTAGAATGTGGCTTTCAATGGACTTGGGTGGGCAATTATTTTTTGTTTTATGTGATTGCCCAGTTTTAGCATTGTATCTTGGCACATAACAGCGTAGGGAGTTACTGAATTGAGCTGTTGTCATTACTCTTCATACAGTGATATGCTATCCATCTCTCGCACTCAGGGTTGGGGTGGGGAGATGTATAGTGTATTCAATTTTCTTCTATTGTTGCAATCCGCTTAGTCATGTACTTAAATTGCATCATCTTTTTTCCAAAAAAAAATGTTTCAAGTTCTGTGTGTCTGCTTGAGATGCTAAGAATGCTTTGCTTCGGAAGATATAGGCAAAGCATGAAAGCTAAACATGATATAGTTAACTGGTTCAAATTGTTGGAGACTAGAATTTAGCGACTCAGAATTGAGATTACTGTCTTGTATCAGTTCATACAATTTTTGGAAGGGAGGGGGAATACCTGTTATAAGCTTTTGGAATATTGGATGTTGTATGCTGCACACAATTTCTAACTTGAGCTTTGTTTTTAATAAAAATAAAATGTGTTACCTTGTGATTAACAACATTTTACATGTGTTTTGATTCTAGGATTGTAAATTAATGATAAGAATGTGTCGATTATTTTCACGCATGAATGTTACTCCAGTAAACAGTTTTTGAGCAAAGTCTTTACGACATATGTTGATGATTCTCCAACACAAACATTCAGCGCAATACAATTGAAATGCGCAAAAATTGAAATAAAATAACACATGTCGTGCAAATATTGATAAAAATGTTAAATTTTGTTCTTTAATTACTAAATTATATATGTATATATATATATATATATATATTAATTTTAAAATAAAAAAACTATACATTAAATAGATTATTAACTAATAAATAATAAATTAATGATATTGTTATTTTCTTTTTATTAATTATTTATCATATCATCTAAAGTCGTATATTTATTGACAGTTGTTGGGGTTCACCCAAAGGTGAATAAAAGATGAGGTTTGTTAGGCTATTTAGATAGGTTTTAAATCGACTAAACAAGATTGGCTAATTTAATTGTAACATTAGTGAACTAATTAAGTGATAGGTTAATTTAATTAAAAAATATAGTTGATTTCAATTTTTTTTTTGTTAAATTTGTGTTAAATTAATGAAGAATATTTATATTTTTTTACCATTAATAGTAGGCTATAAAGCAAGCTTTGACGTAAAATTAAATTTGAATTAAGAAATAGATATTTAATGTAAAAAAAATACTATCGACGTATTTTCTAACACACTTTTATTTATTGTTTGAAATTTATCAAAATTTACATGATTTTTATTCTTAATTTAAATATTTTTAATCTTATATTAATGTTTTTTTTTATCATATTTTTGTAATTTGAAATAAATTTTAATTAATACTAATTAAGAATATGTTAATTAAAAATTATTTAGCATGATGAAAAAGTACTTCCATTTGATTAAATTTCTTAAATTACTGTTATTTAAAAATTCAAACTTACAAAATATATATAAAAAATAATTAATATTTTAATTTAAGTAAAAGTTTCAATTAAATTTTTTTAAAAGACCTAAATAATTATATAAGTTAAATTTGAACTTAAAAAAAACTATTTAATTTGGTACATCAGTGTACTTAAACTTTTATATATATATATATATATATATATATATATAGAAGAATCTTCTTAAATTGGTATAAATCTAAAAACTCTTATATCAAATTTAAACTTTTCATTTAACTTAAATCTAACAGTTAGCGAAGTAATAAATTATAATATATTATATTTAAGTTAAATAAAAAGTTCAGATTGAGTGTAAAATTTTTTAGACTTACACCGATGAAAGAAGATCCTACCTCTATATATATATGAAATAACAAATATTTAAAATAATTAAATCTTAAGTAATGATAACAACATATTTTTTAATATATTTTTTATTATTAATTAAAATTTATTAAAAAACAAAAAGTATGAGAGAAAAAATTTAAAAAATAAGAAAAAATGAAACTCATATATATTTTACATTTTTAATAAATAATAATAAATATATTAAAAAAATATAATAAAGATTGTGTTGTGAGCATTATCCTTAAACCTTAAATGAATTAAAATCCTATTTGAGAGGCCTATGCTTACTGGTCGCCGCAAGGTAGTAACAAAACAAAGAGAATCTCCCAATAAATCCAAAGAGGACAAAGCCTTCCAAAACCCATTGGGTCACCGCAGCCCGGGCCCAAGAAGGAACAAAAAAAAGAGAAAATTTAGAAGCAACGAATGCAATAGAACGTAACCCCTAAAACCTCAGAAGAAAGAAACGCAACTGAAAACTCTGCACTCCTCTGCTTCAGGTGGCTGTCTTTTTTTTTTTTTTTTTTTTGGCTTTTGAGTTTCATTGAGTGAGCAATCATAAACGACAAATGCAAATTTGTGGTTTCAGACAATAGAAAATTCAGAAGAGAAGAAAGAGATGGGAAAGAACAAAGTGAAGGAAAATGGTGGCAAAGACTATTGCCCCTTAACCCTTTTTGTCTCCAACTTGCCCTACTCTTTTTCCAATTCTCAGGTCTTTTTATATTCCCCTTGTATTTTTTTTACTTTTTCTATTGATTTTATTTTTATGTATTTATTTTTTGTAAAAAAATAATAAAATCAGCTGGAGGAGGCGTTCAGTGAGGTTGGACCTGTTAGGCGTTGCTTCATGGTCACACAGAAAGGTAAGGAATGAAAAAAATGTACACCCACTTTCTGTTTATATATATAAATTTTGTAATGTGTTTATTTGTGCACAATATTTTCCCAAATTTTAATTAATAAAGTAATTTTTTATGCTCATGGCGTCTATACTATGTTGATAAAATTAATGAAATTTGATGCATTTTGCAGTTTATTTTATTGTGAGGATATAGTGGTCTGTTTCTGCTCTCTACCCTTTTTAGCACAAGTTGGTGGCTGTTTTGTTTTAATGGGCAGAGTTACTTATTTATGAGTGAGAATAAGATAATTCTGTTGCATCATGTTTCGTTGCCCAAAATATTCTTGTTCTTATATTATGTATCAGAATGCCAACTTATGACGCTGATACTGCTGGACTACTGTGCTTCAATCTGCCTTCGTGTTACCATAAGCATCTTTTGTATTGTGGCTGTAGAAATAATAAATGCAATTGTAATTAGTAACCAGTTTATGTTAATTAAATGACACATGAAATGAAATCTACCAAGACTGAAGAGTGAAGTATATTTTGCGCCTATTAACATCTCTATCTTTGCTTAATGGTCCACAGGTTCAGCCCAGCATCGTGGTTTTGGTTATGTCCAATTGTGAGTTTATTTTTCCCTTTAAAAAATTGTAGTCACAGTTGTTGTTGTCTTTGGTTCTCTTACTATTCTTCCCAGTTGTTCGCATACTGCATCACTATTCTCTTGCTTTCATGTTGACCATGTGTTGAATTTCTAGCTTTAGCTTATTTTATTGTGTTCTTACCAGTCGTTTTGATCTACTTTCTTGATCATGCTTTGGCTATGGATCAATTCAACTGAAGCTACTATCTGGATGAATACTGTTGAACTGAAACATTTGCTCAGTGACCTAGTAAAAGTTGCTCCTTTATGGAAAATGTGCTTTGATTGTATTGACATTTTAACATCCTCAAACATAATATGGATTGCTGTATGCTCTTCAACTATTTAATGTCAGAAAACCTCCATGTCCTTGACTCAATGTTGCTGATAAAACTTGATGCACTGCGGTTTAAAAATATCACTTAAGATGATATCATTTGACAAACTTTTTCAATCTTTATTTTAGAAATAACTGTTGCATAGTGGTTTTATAAAATGAGACCTGTCTTCTTATGATGGTGACTCTGCTGTGTAACTGTGTTGTTGTTGTGGTAATTGGTAAATTAATCAATAATTATAAAATATTGGTTGATTTTGTTTTTATGTAAGGGTATGATGCTTTTCGTTCTGGGTTATTAGAGTTATAATTGTGACTTAGCTTTTTCTAGTTTGGTTTTAATTGTTTCCATCTTCAGTGCTGTTGAGGAAGATGCTAACCGCGCTATTGAGCTGAAGAATGGTTCATCTGTTGGAGGCCGGAAAATTGTAGTGAAGCATGCGATGCCTCGTCCTCCCCGTGAAGAACGAAAGTCAAAACCAAATCAAGGTTGACACTGCTCTCTGATTCTGGTTCAGCATACTGTGGTATTTTTATATTACATGCTTTCTGAAAGGCGTGCAAATGATTTTAACCTTGTCTATATTCTTCTTCCTATGTTTTCTCTTTTCCCTCGGTCTTTCCTGATTCCTAATGTATTAGTAGGCAAGTCAGATGATCTCTTAAAGCCAATAGATGACGATGAAGACCGCAGATCATCTGCAGCAGGGAAGCCTGTTTCAGCTTTAAAGGAAGAAGGTTGATAATGTGTTTATGCAACTTATTTTTATTATTTGCTCATATATATATATATATATATATATTTATTTAATGTATTCTTTTTCTTCTTGTCTAGAAGTACAAGTCACTAAAAAACAAAAGCACTCAAGGAAGCCCGTGGAAATGAAAAAATCAGCCCTTTGTAATGATGTAGCAGATGAGGGTGGTTTCTCAGATAAACAGAGGTTTTCATTCGTCTCTCCTTTTCTGCAATTTTATTTAATCCAACTTTTCAAAATCAATCAGTTATCAGACGAGTAAAAGATAATCCCCTGAAACTAATTTTTTAACATGGTTGAGATTAAGTGAAAATGAGATAATCTGATACAGCTTATGAATTTCTTTTCATATTTTTAATTTATATTTTGTCCCTAAAATACTGTTCCTTAATGTAATTTTTTATTCTTTTGACAGGGTTGCTAGAACTGTTATATTTGGTGGTCTCATAAATTCTGATATGGCTGAAGAAGTGCACTGCCAAGCCAGAGAGATTGACACTGTGTGTTGTATTAATTATCCTCTTTCAAGGAAAGATCTTGAGCAACATGGTAACTGTGCATTTGATCTTTTCATCCCATGATATATAATGCTGGTGAAATGTGTTTTATGTTTATTTGATGGTGTGATATGTCATAGTTATACTCAAAAAGAGATATAAAAGGTTCTATTTTTTTTCTTTGTTGAATAACGATAATTGGCTGTATTCATGTTCTTTTTGGGTCAGATTTTTCCTGTTTTGTACTTAGTGTAAGGTTGTCATGTGGCTGATGTGTGAAGCTGATTTTAATGTAGATTTTCTCCTTTCTTATACTGTTATAGGTGCTTTTTTAGTTGTCAATATTATTGTCTTAATGCTAAACCCTTAACATTTAATTGTATTTTGTCCAATGTATATTGAGCATTGATAAGGATATTAAAGTTGTTCTTCCACTGACATTGTCAGAGATGGCTTTCCAGCTAGGAATTTGTTTAACAACTTTAAATCCATTGTATTACTTAGTTAAAGGTTCTTTATATTTCTTGGGATGGTAAGGGTCATTATGGATTTTTTCCAGGTCTCCTGCAAGATGGCTGTACTTTGGATGCTTCAGCTGTACTTTATACAAGTGTAAAATCAGCTCGAGCTTCTGTTGCAAGATTTCATAAAAAAGAGATAGGAGGGGGAACTGTTTGGGCTCGCCAACTGGGTGGAGAGGTAAAGTGCTTGTCATAGATATACCAGAGTATAATATAGTTGTGCTCCAGAAAAGCATCATTTGTATATCTTTTTTGCTTTATGTTGTAAAATTTATATTCCATGGTATTATAGTGAATTAGCTGACCTTACCTAGTGGTATAAAGCTTCATTTTTTTATGCTTTATTGTGTGCTTTTCTTCCATTCAATTTCAATTGGTCATAGGTGAAGTTAACTTTTTCCTGTTTGCTGAATATGATCATATATGAGATGTTAGTTTCTCAACAATTTTCTGCTGTATGTGGACCAGGGCTCTAAGACTCAGAGATGGAAGCTTATTGTCAGAAACCTTCCCTTCAAGGTTTGATGCAAAGTTACAAAACGTGAAATAAATGTTGTTTGGGGGCCTTGAATTCTAACTACTTGACTGAAACATGGATGCAGGCCAAAGAAAATGAAATAAGAGATATGTTTTCATCTGCAGGGTACGTGTGGGATATATTTATTCCACTCAAGTCAGACACAGGGTATGCTCTGTTTTTTTCCCCACTGAAGTGTTTCAATATAGTATTTTATACAATGCTTTCTCAAGCTGTATTCCCCTATTTTCCTGTTTGCAGTATGTCTAAGGGTTTTGCATTCGTAAAATTCACCTGCAAGCTAGATGCGGAAAATGTATGACCTGTTACCAAGATTTTCACTTTATGTACTGTTTTTTTCTGATATAATCAGCATATAAATTTCCTGTTTCTGTTTCAGGCCATTCAAAAGCTCAATGGATCTAAGTTTGCAAAACGTCTCATAGCTGTTGATTGGGCTGTTCCAAAACAGATATTTAGTAATGATGCCAATAATGCTCTTGCTCCAGAGAATGGTAATTTTTATATTATGCGGAAATGATATTGTGATCAACCACTCTTATATGTATTTGACTTGATCAAAATTATCTTGCTTTTAATATTTTCAGTCTAGATCTTCATGTTAAATTTAAATTTGAGTAGGTAAAATAAAATCATACAGTAGAAAAGATTGTTGCTTACCCTTCACTGCTTAATACTTAAGGTGAATTGCATAATCAGCTGAAGGGAATGAGGTGCTTTTGGCTTCTCGATGCTGAACTGTACACTATTTTCTGATGCTCTCATTTATTACCAATTGTTCATACGTCATAGTACTATTTTTGTAGATATTAATATTATTATTCTTTGAGAAATTCTTTGTGAGCAAGGTTACTTATCTATTTTTTAATCAAGTATGCTTATAACAAGTTGCTTATAAGTGCTCTAGTGTTGAAATAGAAATTGGGGTTAGTCTCACTATCACTGTTCACCAGTTTGGGTAGATTTGGGGCTTAACATCATCTTCACCATTATGTTGTTCAGCTCTTAGGTAGAATTGTGGAACAGAAAACTGGCTCCTTTTTATGTAGCTCACTCTTTACTACACTTGGAATGTAACTGAATTTGTTTCTTAAATCATTCTTTTATGGTGTTCTAAACTTCAATGAATTATAAAGTGGCTAATCATTTGAAGCCAGGCTAATGAGTTGTTACTAACTTACAATAGTTATAGAATTTGTTGGAGAACATAGGATAGCAATGTTTACTGATATTTCAAAATTTAACTCCCAACAGATTACGATTTAATAACTATGTTGAGGTCAAAGTTTCTTGTTCCTTCTTTGTAGCCTTTGAAATTTCCCTGGTAGATTGTGTTTGTCCTTTTAATTCTTTAGTTGGGTCTATTAGGAAAACTTATGCAATCATATATAGGAGTGTGAGCTTATTTCTTCATGGACGATTGATATCTAACATTTGACGTATTGGGTCATTGTGAGTTATACTACGCGGTATTTGTTGAGAAGCTTTTCATTATTGTTCTAGACTGTAATTCCGCTTTTGTTACTATAAATAAGTCTCGTTCTCTATCACTGACCTAATTAATTTAGTATGCCAAATACCCCTTCATTTAACTCAAACTATCTAAATAAGACACAATTTCTTTAGGGCTCCAAACGATGAGAGATGAGGATAGTAGTAGTGAGGGAGATGTTGAGCATGTTGGCAAACAATCTAGTCAAGGAGATGATAGTGATGCAGATTATTCTAGTGCCATGGAGGAGGAAAGTGCACCTCCTGAAGATAATTTTGATAAGGAAGCAGACATTGCAAGAAAGGTTCTTAACAACTTGCTTACATCCTCCAACAAAGGAACATCTGTAAATAATGATTCTATGTTGTCCAAAGAAAAGAAGGAGCCAAAAGCCAATGAAATTGTTGAGGATGCAGATGGTAAAGCATCGGATGAGTATGAAAAGGTTTCAGATGTTTCCAAGCCTGAAATTTCCACCAGAAGCAAGTCATCAGATCTTAAGCAAACAGAAGTAGATGATTTGCAGAAAACAGTTTTTATAAGTAATCTTCCCTTTGAATGTGATAATGAAGAAGTGAAACAAAGATTTTCTGGATTTGGGGAAGTAGAATACTTCCTTCCTGTTCTCCACCAAGTGACCAAGTATGTCCTAGAGCATTATTTTCTGTGTGTCTATATTTCACTGGGCATTATTCATAGTCTCCTCTTACTCAATGCAGGCGTCCAAGAGGCACTGGTTTTCTTAAATTTAAAACTGTAGAAGCAGCTAATACTGCAATTTCAGCTGCCAGTAATGCTTCTGGGCTGGGTATTTTACTGAAGGGTAGACCGTTAAAAGTCTTAAAGGCTTTGGATAAGAAATCAGCTCATGACAAGGAACTGGAAAAGGCAAAAAGTGAGGTTCATGACCACCGCAATCTTTATTTGGCTAAGGTTTGTCTTCTTCTCTGTACCTTGTGTAGCATGTGGAAGCTCACATGCAATAGGACTAACATTTTTATTCTACTAAACTGTAAATAGGAAGGACTTATTCTTGAGGGAACTCCAGCTGCTGAAGGGGTTTCAGCCAGTGACATGTTAAAACGCCAAGAGTGAGTATTTTATGGCTAGCAATGCTAGTGGCATTATAATTTTAACTCCCACCTATCATATTTGTTATAGTTATTATGGGCCGTCCTTGAGTAACTATTTAATCCACCACTGTCATATTGTTATGGCTAGTGTATGCTGCATCTAAGGGTCAATCCAATGGGTTCATGTTTTTTGACCCTGTCAACTACATTTTTCTTTTTAAATTCACCTGATATAGTGATAATCCTTTGTTGGTCCTTGCAGCATTTACCCTCATTTCAACTTAAGGAGAACAAAAGAATACTTGTATTCTTCACCTTGTTTTCCTTTTTTCTTTTTTTGTTCTCAGGTAAATGTTGAGAAAATAACATGTGGACAAGAAAAGCTAGTCTATTGAAAAGCAAAGATAATATAATTTCTGACAAATGATTATTGTACAAACCATTTTGTGCATAGATCCACTAACAAAAATATGAGCCATTAATGTGGGTGGAAAGATAGGTGAGAGATAAAAGTGGGTTGTTGTGAAATGCCTGTGTGGTCTGAGATGTTTTTTTCCGAGTAATCATTACTGTTTCTAAATACTTATTTCCTTACGTTGCATTTGATCTTAATATGGTGAAAAAATATTGTCATCTTCTTGCTTCAGTTAAGTGTGATTCCCTTAGCTGGTTTTAGTGCTCTCTAACATTATTTATGGAAAATTCATAGGTTGGAAAGAAAAAAGAGGACAAAGCTTCAATCTCCAAATTTTCACGTTTCAAGAACTAGACTCGTTATCTACAACTTACCAAAGTCAATGAATGAAAAAGAACTCAAGAACCTTTGCATTGATGCAGTAATCTCTAGAGCTACCAAGCAAAAACCTGTAATTCGGCAGGTTGGTTAAGTAGATCATGACTTGAAGTTGTCAATTATTGTTTCTGCAAAGCGTTAGGAACTTCATTCTATGTTTAAATGTTATACATGTACTCTGCAGATAAAGTTTTTGAAAGATGGAAAGAAAGGGAAGGTTGTTCAAGAACGCCATTCCCGTGGAGTTGCCTTCATTGAATTTTCAGAGCATCAGCATGCCCTTGTGGCTCTGAGAGTTATTAACAATAATCCTGGTAACTTCCATTTCTCATTACTGAAGGGTGGGGACTAATTTGTGCCCTGATTTCTGTTCAATCTAATGCTGTCTTTCATTGACCATAGAAACTTTTGGTCCTGAACATCGGCCAATTGTGGAGTTTGCTCTTGATAATGTTCAGACACTTAAACTTCGGAAAGCAAAGCTACAATCTCAGCGACAGGCTCCTCAAGATGACAACAAATTCATGCCTGGCATAGAAGTTTACACGCATGCAAATGACAAAAAACGAAAATCTCAAGAGCTTGATAAACCGGCAAAGGACCCAGAACTGACTACAAATGATGAATCTAGCGGTTCAGTGGCAAATGGAAAATCCCCTCAAGGACGCAAATCCAAAAGACACAAAGGCAACCATAAGGGTACAAGGGCTGAAATGTCATCACTGGAAGAAACACCAAAATCCTTGTCCAAAAAATCAAAGAACTACCAAGGTGGGCAGAATAATTATGGTACATCACTTGAAGGTCAAAACTCTGGCATTGACACTAGTAGAAGAAAATCAAGAAGCAAAGATGATGGATTTAGAAAACGGAAGATGCAAAACCAAGAACAAGCAGGCCAAAAGGTTTCTAAGAAACGGCCCAAGAAGAATAAAGATTCAGTAGGGAAGGACGTAGTAGATAAGCTTGACATGCTTATAGAACAATATAGATCAAAGTTCTCACACAAGAGTTCCCAAGAGAATGATGGAGATAAAAAATCTTCTAAACAGCTTAGAAAATGGTTTCAATCATAATTAACTATTTGTTTGAAATTATATTGTACTTTGGATTATTTTTCTTCACCGCCTCGGAAAGTGCAGCGATTTAACTTTAGTTGCACTGTATCTTATGCTGTTTTCTTTTTTTTTTCTCCCTGACAATGATTTAAAATATAAAGTATTTAACATTTTCCTGGTATTTTTATCATGTGTTGTTTGGGGAATGTGCGTATATAATTTGTGCAAAATATTTTAATCATTTTATAGGGACATCATCTTCAACGAGTTAAAGTTGGTCAAAATTAGTACACCGAACTGTACAGTTGGTTAAACCAACAAAGCGTTACTTAAAAAAAAAAAAAACTGTTTTATATTCATTTGAGAGTAAATCTTCAAATAGGTGGAGTTTTATAAATATTACTTTAATATTTAATAGTGCATGCACATACCTTTAAACTCGTTCAAAAAAGATTGAAAGATTTAGTATATATAACTTTTAACAAGTTTAAAATTATTGAAAAATTAATTAAGAAAAATAACTTATGTCATCGTTATAATTAAGCAAAGTACATAAATGAAAGCATTTCACTTCACTTTTAAAAGTAGAATTAGATTTATTGAATAGCAAAAACAAAAATAAATCATCAGAATCTATTCAATAAAATTTATCAACAAAAATACCAAATTACACTTACATATGCGATTTGTGTGTGAAGAAGTATAATGATTTCATTAACCATCGATTTACTGTTTCATATATAACAGCGAAAGAATAGTGTTTCATTGTAAGAGTTGCATTTAAATAGTAAATAATGAGATGATTCAAAGCAGAAAAATAGAAAGTAATTTCTATAGTGCCTTCAATTGGATCTATACTAAAAATTAGAACACTATAAGAATTACTATAAATTACTCTGCTCTTAAAGACATTATTCCAATTGTCTCCCTACTTTTGTGAAAGTGTATATGAATACATCACGAACAAAATCTTACTCCTATTCCTTCTCTTGCAATTGAGTTCTTTGATAAGAAAGTACACTGTTTAATTGTTCATAAAGAAAAAGAGATCCTTACCTTATATAATAATTGTAACTCAAATTTTCACCTATCACAAGCCCTAAGTACTACCTAATAAACATTTAAAATATAATATAGATAGTGCTTTACAAAACTATGATGGATTATTATATGAATTCAAAAAAATATCATTATTTATTCAACTTGTTTTATAAAATCAAATTACCGATCAACAGAAGGTCAAACTCAAAATTCCAAAGGAGGACAAATTACACGCTATCCAAATTAAAGAGAGAAAAAATATATATAATTAAACCCTCCATGAATGCATAGACTTAATATAAAATTTTGTTCGCAGATGTTGGGATAACTTTTCTATTTTTTTTGAAGTATCATAATTAACAGTTTTACTTTTTTCTAAAACAAATATATAAAAGAAATGCTGAAATTTTGAGAACATAAATTATACAATTTGGGATCAAGATAAAACTTCAAAAATTTACGTGAACTTATAAGTGAATAATGCTATTTTAACACTTAGATTAAGTGTCAATGACTGATGCCCTGTACAAGCTAAAAAACAGTTATATTATAATTATATAGGATATCTTATATAAATACTCAAATCAGGTGTTAAAATAGCATTACTCCTTCCTAGAGTTATAAGAAAAAGCTTGGTGTGTCGCTTCTAAGAAGCAAAATTGAAAATACCATCACTGGGACCGGGACTAACGTATGAGAACCGAGATTTTTAACACTTGAACGTAGGAATAAAAGGGATCTGCATTGTAACATCGACGACAAAGGGCTATTTCAGACAAAGACGCCTTATTCTTTGATTGTGTAAAATTACACGGTGGACAACGTCCAAAGAAAATACATTTCTCATAATTCGTATACAAAATCCCTAATCATGTCTAAGAATACATTTTCCTCCTCGCAAAACACAATACACTTTTTGAACGTAATTTCTTCCGCTTCCCGAGAGGCTGGGGATGATTGATTGATTAATTTCATGGGTACAGAGTACATTGCAGCAAAAATTAAAAAAATTAAAAAATGATAACACAAAAGATACAAAAGGAGAACGGTAAAAGCGAAAGAAAAAGGAAAGCAATGTAATTGTAAAGAAAGCAATCTTCACAAGCCGTCAAGTATACGCTTTAGAATTCTATTATGTATTTTTGTTTTGATTTGTTCTTTCTCTTTTCCAAACAATTACTATGCCATAAAAATCAGATGAAGCCAAAAAATTTTCTCCATGGTTCCAAGCAATACCCACTACTGGAAACCGATGACCCTGCATCGCAAAAGTTCTACTCATTTTGAGCTTCATAATAACATTAATACCTCAGGGGAAGTAAGACTAACCTGAAGCTTGTTTACGCATGTATGTTTTGGCCGTGTTAAATCATAGAAATAGACATTTGAGTCCTCACTTCCAGCAACTTCACGTGACAACAGAGGATAATGTTAGAAAGACACCAACTGTGATGTTGCTTTAGTCAGAGGTATTCTAGAAAACTTAGGGGCTGTTTAGTCTTAAAAAAACGTTTTCTGTTTTCACTTTTAATTATGAAATTGCTACCTGTTTTTCATTCTTTTTCTTGTTTTCGTATAGGAAACAGTGAAAAAAGATTACTTCCTTTATAAATATTTGAAAACAGGCAACAAAATGAAAACAGTGACAGTTTTGTAATTAAAAATAAAAACAAAAACCTTTCCTAAAACCAAACGACCCTCAAAATTACGGCATATCGATGGCCTTTTTCAATGCAAGCACTATTGAATGAAAAACAAATACTTTTATTGATGAATCCACTGCAAGCAACGTACACCAAACAATTATTTTCCGGTTTGACACAGCAAGAGTTTTTAGTTAAATGATAAAAGCAGCATTATTATTTAAGACTCCTTCAAGAGACAAAAAAGAGAAAGGAAAAAACACAAAAAGAGGAGAAGAAAAAGAAGTACCAATATACCTATGAATTCTCCTTTTTCAAGGGAAAGAAGAGGGCAGAAAGAAGCTTGAACTTTGTGTATACGTGGAGTTAATTTGAGTGAGCATCGAAGAGTTAAATAACCTTGTATCTCCAAAGCCACACTATAATATACCAACTTTAGTGATCCAAAGAAAAATAAGAGAAATGAAGACAACTGAATGCACTTGGTAATAATGGCAAATTAATTTTGAACCTGAAGAAAGACAGGCTTCCATCCTGAGTACATGTCAACAACACAGGTCCTCGAGCCAAGAAAGAGAAACTCCGATATTGCACTGTTGTGACTGGAGATTTGTGTCTGCTGCTACTTCGATAGCGATGAGAGCGAGATAATACACCTGTGCGGGAGTTCATATTTACTGAGTATATACATCCCTGCACATACAATTCAGTACCTAAAGAAAATGAGATAAACGTAACAATTAGGATATTAATGTGCAAAAATAGAGCAGCTCACCTGTGCATCTCCACAAAATATGAGATGTCCGGTATGATCATGATCCATTGCAGTAACTTCACTGTCAAATATTGATTTATTAATTATCCTTCCAGTGCTAAAATTGAACACCTGGCACATCATAATTTTTATAAAAATAATAAATGACCATAGCAGGTAATGTAAGAAGAGGGAAAACATAATGGCATAGGATTTTATAGAGTGGAAATATTTATCAAAATCAATAATGGAAATGTGTTGAATGAATTCAGCCGATCTAAGAGTCTGTCCGGATGTGAAGGGTGGAAAGGAAATGTTGGGAAGGGAATAATTCTCGTTATTTAGGAGTTTGAAATTTAGATGAAGGAAAAGTGTGGAGAGCCATTCCCCCATTCCCATTCAAATTATCTTTTATTCCCTCCTAACTTTGGATAATTAGGGTTAACTTTTATTTTGAAAACTTGTCACTTGCAATTTTACCTCCATAAATTGAGAAACTTTAAAATATTTAAATTTTACAGTACACTACTTATAAATCAACAAACCTTCCCATTTCTTCCCACATTAATACCCAAACACAGGACAGTAACTCTCTTCCATTCCCTATCCATTTCACCCCATTCTCTCTGAAACATTCAAGCATAAGCATAGTGCCAAACCACAAAATATAAACTGTTCCCGATACTTTAAAAGAAAGAACACAATCCCAATTAAATGACATTTAAGCTCAAACTGATGCCACATAATGACAAATAGAATGGAAATGCATTCCAAGAGGTTTCAACCAAAAAGCTGCCAAGATTGTTACTTCCTTCTCCATAAAACAAAATGGAAACAAGTAACATATTTATTGCATGTTTGGTTGAACTTATTTGAGAGGAATAATTTCACAATATAACCTCTAAAAATATATGCTTATTTTTCAAAAAATTGTATAACAAACATGAACTTACATTGATTTCTTTGTTTTCATTGCCAACTGAAAGGAAGTTGTTATTTACCTGCACCAAATACAAAAAAAAAAAAAAAAGAAAAAAAAAAGAAAAAAAAGAAATACAGTCTTCCCTTAGTAGCAACCAAGGATGAACGCAAAGGACTAAATTTATTTACCAATATAAAATATCAAAATCCCCACAATGATATAGGAAGCCATATCTTTGGAAAAATCAAACAAGTTGCAAAAGAATATTCAAGTTTCACTAGATGAGGTGGAGAAGTAAATTTTCTGCAAATTTTTCTTGTTTTTCCCATTTGACAAACCCCTCCCCCCATCTTCTTCTCCCACACTCTCCCTCTCCCATAGAAAAGAATATTAAAGTTTTACCAGATGTGACAAAGAAGGAAAAATTCTACATACCAAATTCCCAGCCTCCTTCCCCCTTATTATCATATGTTTCACACAAGCTTAGTTTATTTATAACAGCCTTAAACACAAGCAACCTAAAATAAACCAACATGTATAAAGGAAGTCTTAAAATTGTTAACAGGACCAGGACCACAGTATAAAGTATTGGTTGTGCGTCAGCATTCGATCCTTTTAAGAAACAAATTTTGCCAACAAAAAAGAAAACAGGGGAGAGAGAGAGAGAACTACAGGTAAATCCAAGTTCAAGATCACACTGGATGTCTCTTTTTTTCTGCATACTATGAGAAAGATTCAGCACCACCCTTAAAAAAATTAGCCATCTTCAGTCTAGGAAAGTCAATTTATCGCCTCCCTTAGGAATTTTGGGAGAAAGATTGATAAAAGAGAGTGAGAAACTGGTAAATTGAAATACTCACAAAGTAAGAGGAGAAATGCTAGCAACACACATAGTTATTGGCTAGTTATACCTACACACAAAACAGACACCATTACTTACAGGGTGAAAACGGATACATGTCTGTGAAGAAACTCCATATATCACCCGTATGCAAATGCCTTTTGCTATCTCCCATACTCTCACAGTTTTATCCAAAGACGACGATGCAATGTACTGATTGTTTGACGTAAAATCAAAATCTGAAAATAAACCAATTGATGTAAAGGAATAGATTAACAAGGCAACAATAACAAAATTAAAATTACCAAAATTTGGGATTGATATTCTAATAGATTGAAAAACCGTAAATTGTGTGTTAAAAGGCATGTAATGTAATCATGGATGATGCTCAAAATTGCATATGCTAATGAAGATTAACAATTTGACGTATCACGGATTTATATTGGTCGAATTTCTAAATTCCTGAAGTCATAGTTGTCATCAAATTCAGTTTTAGGTTTTAAAAAGGGTGAAGACTCCTCAGTAATTCACAGGGGGGAGGGGGGAGAACAAGTTCAGGAAATCAATGCAACAGAGATTAAGTCTGGTTTTGTGTCTTAGTAGTAATAAAAACAGGGAGAATTACAATTTAGGGAATCTTGGAAAACATAATTCCAATTAAAGAAGAAATAACAAATTCAGCAAGAATATTTGGTATGACTAATTTGATTCCCAGAAAAAATATTACATTAGACGATATTGTTTTAGTGCAGCTAATCATATATGTCATGCAAGATAAAAAATAGACCAAAGAAACCACATAAATCTATCCAACCTGTGACATCTTTGGAATGACCATTTAATTGTTTGATGACTGAAGGTTTGTCAGAAACGCTGCACACAGTCAAGGTTCCATCTGATGCCCCATAAGCAAGTAGATCAGAACTCATGTGTCCAAACTTTAACACCGTAACTACACAGAAAAATTTTCAGGATTACTCCAACAAGTAAACCAGAGATTAGTACTAAGATAATGGGAAGACCAATCTAGATTGGATTGTAAATACTACCAGAAGCTTTGCACTGATCAAAGATACAATGCATTCCAACAAAAGAATAGGCAGGCTCAGCGCCACGATGCCTAGGACGATCAGATTCACTTGCACTTGAGCCAAAACTCGTTCTATTATTGTATAGTGGATTTGCATTTTGCAGATCCTGCAATGAAAATAAACACACAATTTCAACACAACACAGAAAATAAGTAAATAATCCAGAAAATTAAAGTAATATTCATGGCATGGCATACGAGTAAAACTGTACAAACGAACTCCAATTTTGAAAACAATTGAACAAAGCTCCAAATTATCATGGCACAACCCACTCATCCCTTAACAGTATAAACATAAAGTATACTTGTAACTATCTTGTTAAATATCTGGTCATTCTGTTTCACTAGTGTAATCTTAACTCTTAAGTAACATCTAAGAGTGCATTTGGATTCACATTGGAAGACCTGTAAACATGAATCTGATACGGCCCATACATTCGTGAGCCCAGCTAACAGTGAGATACCCGGGCAGCAGATACGTGAGGGAGAGAAGACCTGGAAAGTATACTCCAGGAGAGGTAAAAAGGGTGACACGTGTTTAAAAAGGGAGGACTAGTCAGTTAGGCTGAGTGGGTTGTTTTGGGGCCCACTAGAGATGGGAGGTAGGGGAGTTGGTTATAGGTGAGAGGAAGGAATCAGGGAAAGGCAGAGAATATTCATTTTGATCTAGCGGCCATTGTGGCTAGGGAAGGGGAGCGTGGTGCTCTCCTGAGTTACTATCTTTTGTTCTTCGTTTACTGTTGCTAGTGCAATCTCTCACATTTCCTTATTCATACAGCAATATACATATATCAGAGTATCTCTTCCATACTTTCTTTCTCTTTTTTGGTTGTGTTTTCTATCATTTGGTCCGACCTGCCGGATATAAACGTGACGGAGGAGATGGAAACGCGAAATCAAGCTAGGTTGGAGGCGATGGACCAGCGTTTAGGGTGGTAGAAAGGACGTTGTCGGAGTTGTCGGCAGCAGCGAACGTCGTCAACCAGGGACAACAACGCCTGGAGCAAGAGATGAAGGAGCAGGCTGAGTTCCGCAAATACATTGCGAGTTTGGTACGGAGACTGGAGAAGATGCCGCAGAACGAAGAGTCGCCAGAATCACTTGTGACCGCCGAATCGGAAAACCGCACGGAGAGGGACGGAGAGAAGGAACGGTCGACCAGAGATGCTCTCACTATGGACAACCTTGCAGGGACTCTAGACAACCTGTTCACAGTGGCCAGGCGCGTGGAGTTATCAGTGTTTGACGGCACCGACCCGAGGGGATGGCTGATTCGAGCTGAGCTCTATTTTCGCGTGCATCAGACTCCCGAGGAATCGAAATTACCTTTGGCTCAGGTGAGCATGAGCGGAACCGCGATCCATTGGTTCACTATACTAATGGAGATACACTCGGGGCTGAATTGGACCACGTTCAAAGAGGAATTATTGGAGAGGTTTAGTGGGCTCAAAGTGCAGAACCCGTATGAAGAATTGGCAGCATTACGACAGAAAGGAACGGTCCAGGAGTTTGTGGAAGAGTTTGAGTACTTGGCTTCGTTGGTTCCTCGCCAGCCCGAACAACAGTACGTGGGCTACTTCCTTAATGGGCTTAAGGAGGATATTAGGAATTGGGTTCGAGTCCAGAACCCAGAGACGCATCTTCAGGCCATGCGTGTGGCCCGCAATATTGAGATAGCCCTGAAGAGAGGCGGAGGCCCACCCAGTAGGCTTGGAAGGCAGCGAGGGTTTACGGGAACACCGTTTCAAACTTCCCGACCCAACTCTCAGCATCAGGCCTGGAATCGAAGTCCTCCAGATGCTAGTGTTTCGCCGAGGCAGGACAGGAGATCGGGTGGTCCGCCTACAGGGGGAGCAAGCCCAGAAACGTCCAAGGCCCCAGGTCCGGGCACGAGGGGAGTCCACCATCTGACATCTCAAGAGTGGGACGAAAGGAGGAGGAAGGGATTGTGTTTCCGCTGTGGGTTACCATATAGCTCTCTTCACAAGTGTGCTGAACCAAAAATGAGGGTCATCCTCTTGGGGGAGGATGAGACAATTAATGAAGAAGGTGAAGTGTTAGTGGTCGAAGAAGAGGAGACAGAAGCGGGGAGTGGTCAAGAGGAAGGGGAGTGTAAAAGACTGGAATATTGGGGCACAGCTGAAATTTTTCAGACACAGGGGCAGAGTGCAGAGGAGTTATCTTCGATGAAGGTGGAGGTACAAGTCGATGGCATCCCTATTCTGATTTTGTTGGATAGTGGCGCGACTCATAACTTCATCTCCCCCAAACTAGTGGAGTCATTGGGTCTATTAATTCAGGAGGCTAAACGAATGAGCATCAAGCTGGGCGATGGGTATCGAGTCATATCCCCAGGAGTGTGTAGACAATTTCTGGTGAACATTGGGAACTATGGTTGTTTGATAGATGCTCATGTATTGGACATAGGTGGGTTGGATCTCATTTTAGGAGTGGCCTGGCTTCGCACTCTGGGAGAAGTGAGGACCAACTGGCAGACAATGACCATGAGATTCAAGAGTTCGGGACAAGAATTCACTCTACAGGGAGCAGCACGGCCAGGTCAAGTGGTTTCTTCTCTACATAATTTGGTTCGCAGTTTTTATCCGGATAGTGCTCAGTCCTTTTGTTTTGCTGCGAGGGGAGAACAAGAAAATAAGGAGGATCAGATCCTGTCTTTACAACAACAGCGACAACTGCAGGGCTTAATGTCCTCAATGGCAGTGGTATTTCAAGAGTCTACGGGGCTACCTCCTACAAGACCGTGTGATCATGGGATTAATTTGCTGCCTGGACAGGGTCCTGTATCAGTGAGGCCATACAGGTATCCGCATTTTCAGAAGAACGAAATTGAGCGGCAGGTGCGAGAAATGTTGCAACTAGGACTCATTAGACCCAGTACGAGTGCTTATTCCAGCCCTGTGTTATTGGTGAGGAAAAAAGATAATACATGGCGTATGTGTGTCGACTATAGAGCTCTCAACAAGGTAACGATCCCCGACAAGTTTCCCATCCCAGTAGTGGAAGAGTTGCTGGACGAATTGCATGGAGCTACCTACTTCACCAAGCTGGACCTTAAATCCGGCTATCACCAAATTCGTATGCGCGAAGCAGATATAGAGAAGACTGCTTTTCGGACTCACAGTGGTCACTACGAATACCTAGTGATGCCATTTGGCCTCACCAACGCTCCCTCTACCTTCCAGGCCACCATGAACGAGCTGTTTCGATCTTTGCTTCGTCAGTTTGTGTTGAATTTTTTTTATGATATCCTGATATACAGCAAGGACTGGGCATCGCATCTGTCACATCTGAGAGCTGTTTTGACAGTGTTGCAGGAAAACAGATTCTATGTCAACCCGAAGAAATGCCGTTTTGCACAGAGGGAGGTGGAGTACCTAGGTCACATCATTTCAGAAGCTGGAGTTGCAATGGATCCCATCAAGATTAAAGCAGTCTTAGACTGGCCAATTCCCGTCACTGTCAAGGGAGTCAGGGGTTTTTTGGGCCTCACGGGATACTATCGGAAGTTCATACGTGGGTATGGCAAAGTGGCTCAACCTTTAACAGCATTGACAAAGAAAGAGGGATTCCACTGGAATGTGGAAGCACAAAATGCTTTTGTTCAGCTGAAGCAGCTCATTACATCAGCTCCTGTTCTAGCATTACCAGACTTTTCCAAGGTGTTTGAGGTAGAGTGCGATGCATCGGGCAGGGGAGTAGGGGCTGTGCTCATGCAAGATCGCAGGCCTATCGCCTATTTTAGTAAAGCACTAGCTGACAGGAGTTTGTCCAAGTCTACATATGAATATGAGAAGGAGATCATGGCACTAGTCTTAGCCATACAGCATTGGCGTCCATACTTACTGGGAAGACAATTCGTGGTTTAGTCTGATCATAGAAGCCTGAAATTTCTATTGCAGCAGAGAATTACCACTGCTGACCAACAATGCTGGATTGCGAAGTTATTGGGGTATCAATTTGACGTTAAATATAAACCCGGAAAGGAGAACACAGCAGCTGATGCACTATCTCGTCGCGATGAGCCTGTAGAATTGAGGATGATCAATTCTTTTCCACTGTGGGTAGAAGGAAAAGATTTGACAGCAGGGGTGCAAGAAGACCCATATCTCAAAAAGATCATTGCTGCAATACAGTCGGGTGCTAATGCTAAGGCTGGGTACTCTTATACTCAGGGAGTTTTATTGTATAAAGGAAGACTGGTGATACCTGCAAACTCTCCCTGGATTGTTAAGTTGCTGGATGAATTTCATAGCTCTCCACAAGGCAGCCATGCAGGATATTATAGGACCTATCGCAGATTAGCTGAAAATCTGCACTGGGTGGGAATGAAAAAAAGGTCCAGCGCTATGTCCAAGAGTGTGACATCTGTCAACGTTACAAGTACTCTACACTGTCGCCAGCTGGCTTGCTGCAACCTTTGGAGATTCCAGAGGTAGTGTGGGATGACTTATCCATGGATTTCATAACTGGCTGACCTAAGTCTAAGGGGTTCGATGTCATTTTGGTAGTAGTCGACAGGCTCTCAAAGTGTGCCCATTTTATTTGCCTGAAGCATCCGTTTACTGCAAAAGGGGTAGCTGAAGTATTTATAAGGGAAGTGGTTAGGCTCCATGGGATTCCCAAGTCAATAGTCAGTGATCGTGATCCGATATTTCTAAGCCATTTCTGGACAGCTTTATTCCAACTATATGGGACAAAGCTTAGGATGAGTTCTTCATACCATCCTCAAACGGATGGCCAGACAGAGGTTACCAATCGCTATGTGGAGGCGTATTTACGCTGTTTTGCAGGAGAACAGCCAAAAGGGCGGACATTCTGGTTACCCTGGGCTGAGTTGTGCTTTAATACTGCCTGGCATTCCTCTATCCGCACCACACCTTTTGAGGTGGTCTATGGTAGGAAACCGCCCTCGGTTCTGAGTTTCGCACCCAGTGAGACCAAAGTGGCAGCAGTAGCTCAGGCTTTGATCAAGAGGGATGAGGCTTTGAATCAACTTAAGTATCATTTGTCCAGAGCCCAGCAGAATATGAAGAAACAAGCAGATTCACATAGGAGGGAGGTCTCTTTTCAAGAAGGGGACCAGGTTTACTTAAAACTCAGACCACACAGGCAACATTCAGTGGTTCAGCGTATTAACCAGAAGCTTTCTGCTCGGTTTTATGGTCCTTTCACTATCCTCAGACGCATTGGCCTTGTTGCGTATCAGCTGGATCTACCCCCATCGTCCAAAGTTCATCCAGTTTTTCATGTTTCTCAGTTGAAGAAAGCTGTGGGGAATCGAGTAGTGGAAGCAGCTCTACCCTCGGGTCTTGAAATAGACATACAGGAGGGTATCGAACCAGAAACAGTTCTGGCTGGAAGAACTCAGCTGCAAGATGGGACTGCTGTGGCTCAATGGCTGATTAAATGGAGAGGACGTCCAGCTGAAGAGGCTACATGGGAGGAAGATTTTGTCATGCGTAACCAATTTCCTTCTTTCAGTCTTGAGGACAAGACTGTTCCTCAAGGGGTGGCAAGTGATACGGCCCATACATTCGTGAGCCCAGCTAACAGTGAGATACCCGGGCAGCAGATACGTGAGGGAGAGAAGACCTGGAAAGTATACTCCAGGAGAGGTAAAAAGGATGACACGTGTTTAAAAAGGGAGGACTAGTCAGTTAGGCTGAGTGGGTTGTTTTGGGGCCCACTAGAGATGGGAGGTAGGGGAGTTGGTTATAGGTGAGAGGAAGGAATCAGGGAAAGGCAGAGAATATTCATTTTGATCTAGCGGCCATTGTGGCTTGGGAAGGGGAGCGTGGTGCTCTCCTGAGTTACTATCTTTTGTTCTTCGTTTACTGTTGCTAGTGCAATCTTTCACATTTCCTTATTCATACAGCAATATACATATATCAGAGTATCTCTTCCATACTTTCTTTCTCTTTTCTGGTTGTGTTTTCTATCAGAATCCCACACGGAAGTTACAACTAGTAATATTAAAGTAAACATGGATCTATAGGCATTTAAACACAAATCTAAACATGGTATAAACAAATAAGGGAGTTCCATTTATTTTTTCTCAAATCCAGGATATGTGTATTTACATGAACTGACTGCTACTTCTGCAATTGTAATTTCAACAGGAGAAGCATTAAACAAAAATTGCTAATGTATAAAGTTATAGCCAAATCTATAAGGAAAATATAGGGTTGGTGCTGTATTCTCTCAGACAAACAACCTCATTCCTTGATTTACTCTTTTGATGACTTCAATTTTTATACTTTTCTCTGCAAGATTTTAAAATGGTGACCTTAAGTCCATCTTAATTTATAAAGAATGTGTTATAAAACCCAAGGTCAATTATACCAGTTTTATGTTTAATCCAAATTTATCTAGCATTTTTCCTAACATATCTATTTTAGTTTCTGAATGCTTTATTTAGCTTTACTACAAACCATTCCTCCCTAAATGAAAAAAAAAAAAAAAAACACTAAATAAGCCTACACATTCCACTTGCTCAGGCGCCATGCTAATGCACAATCAGCACCTCCTTGACAATAACATGCTCACTCTCAGCCAAAGCACATACAGCATAGTGGGTTACTCCCAGTTGAAATGATTCAAATGAATGGGCGGGTGGTCATCCTATCAGTTCTTATGGTACAGTCCGATAGTTACATATGTGATCGAATTACAACGCTTAAATTCCATTAACAGAATATATCAATTTGTTAATTATTTTAATGATATGAGTCATATGACATCTCTCTATCCTAATTGCTACTTCCAAATGATTAATGCATTGTCACATCGAGTCAAATACTGCAAGAGGAACACATATTACAAATATATTACAACAAGATGGACATAGAACAACTTACCCGCCCAGAACTAATGCTGTCAACCTCAGACCAACGGGAGCATGGACTTGGTGATGGAAACCATCGGCCACTGATGCATCAACCAGTAAATTATCCTGATGTCAGAATTGTATGGAAACAAAAATTTAAACTAGCACCATGAATGAGAAAGTTGCATTGACATAAAATGTGGTTATAGTTACAAGCAGAAAAACTGAAATAAAATAATTAATCACAATGAAATAAATGAATTTTGAATTGAAATTAATCTATATTGACATAAGATTTTGTCAGATGGAAACAAAGTACAAATGCGGGAGAATATGATATCCTCCTATATCAACCTATGCAAAATGGTAAAAGGAGTAGTGAAGAAAAATAAATAACCAAAACGAGCTTCCTGATCTCTAAGCAAAACGGTAAAAGAATATCACAAGCAATCATAAATCATAATCATCTTGTAAATTTGCATGAGACATAATAATCATAATTTACATCACATGAGAAGAAAAAAGTGCATTTAAGTGCATATGAACATTCAAAGTTTAATATAATGTTCAACTACATATCCAAATCACATTGAAGCTGGCCAATCACGGGCATCTTTATTTCTTTGTTTTATCAACCTTTCGGTAAACAAGTGACCATCATGGAGTCATGTAATGCAAATTTAGACATATATGCTCATCACTTCGAGTAAAATATTCAGCAACCTGTTTCCTGGAGTACTTTGCAGACTTGGGGCACGCGAACTCTCCCAGTCCCTTGGTCGACTTATGTAATTCCGGTATGCCACGTAAGTTTTTCCATTGCATCTCCACTCCTTTAACACAAACATGGGAACGTCAAAAAGCATGGAACCTCACCCCATAAGTCAAAAAGTAACAACTCAGCGCCACCGGAGACAAAATTGTTACAATTTAAAAATAAGGAAAAAAAAAAAGCAAATCCAGCACTCAAGGTAATTAAACATTGTTTTCGACGATTGATCTGAAAAAGTCACATTAAGATCAACACATCTATCAAGCGAATTTAGCTGAGAGCAGCGTAAGAACACGCGAATCAATAAGCTTACAATCCAAAAGTCAAAATGTAACAACGCTGAGCCAAAGCAAACAACACTCAGAAAAAATGCACATCCAGCACGATTCATCTGAAAAAGAAATTCGAAAGAAACAAAAATGCACATTCACAACACGAAAAAATAAAAACAAGATCAACACGGTAATTAGAAAGAAAATTTATCTAGGAACTCTTGACAATCTCAATTTTCAGATTCTGTCGATAAAATCGCTAAACATGTAGATAACAGCGCGTGTTCACAATGGAGCATACTCTGCGGTGGAGAACTCCGGCCTCGGCCTTTCGATAAAGGAGGAGGCGCCGAATGCCGATGTACTCGGGATCGCAGTCGGCGGTGGCAGGCTGCAGCAAGCAGCAGAATAGCTCTGGATCTGTACTCTTCTCGTTGTCGCCTTCGTTGTTGTTGAGGTGGTGATGGTCCTCATTTTGTCGCGGTTCTGGTTCGCCGTCATTGACGGTGGCGCTGCTGTGCTCCGCCATGGTGTCCTATGAAGCGTTCATCGGAGAGCAGTGGCCGAGCCCGATTCTCCGGCGAACTTCGCGACGGTTATTGCGTGAAGGTTCGATTCGAATGACAGAGAAAGAGAGCTTGTGTGAACATAAATGCAGACCTTACCAATCGGTGATCGGTGGAGAAATCGGGGAAAATTAATAATAATTAAAAGTTGAAAAAATAATTGGAAATGCGAATTTCCATGCTTCCTTATTTGTTTTAAATTTTTTAATTGATTTTTTCAACAATAAATTTAAAATAATAAAATTTAGATTAAATTAATATTTAGAAATTATTTTAGAAAGAGCGTCTTAAAGAAGAGAGGAGGAAATGCAAAAATTTATATTTTAAATAATTATATTTAAAATTATTTTTAAAAAATAAAAAATATAAATTAAAATATTAACATAAACTTAATATATTTATCATCTGATATATAATTTTTAATTTAAAATTAAAAAATATGTCTTCTCTTTTTTTCTTTATAATTTTAGTCTAAATATTTTTTTATATTTTTAATTAAATTCTCATAATTTAATTTTTTCAAATTAAATATTTATAAATTTATTTTTTAATTAAATCTAATTTAATTACTTATATAAAATTCAAGTTTAAAATCTAATTTCTTCTACCATAAATTCAAGTTTTTGGACCAGACTTATATAATATTTTATTATAACAAATCATTAAAGGACCAATTTTTTTTTTACTAAAAGCTTACACATGTTGTATTGGCAATAATTCAAAATCAAATATATCATCCAATTCTAATATGATTTGTAACAATTGTTAACTATTAAGGACTTTATTTTAAAAAAAATCAAATTATAAGGATTAAATTAAAATTTTTAAAATTTGAAGACCTAATTAAAACTTTTAAAAAGTTAAAGGGACGAATAGATTAGTTATAGGGCAAGCAGATTAATTTAATTAAAATTATATTTTGAATTTAATTGAAATGCCCTGACATTTTGGATAAGTTGGTTTGCCATTTATTAGACTACTTAATTCGAAAGGAGAAGAAAAAAGATCCATCTTTTACAGCTAGAGTGACGTTTTCTTGCGAAGGAAAGTTGTAATTTTTGTTAGGATTTATTTTTGTCTATTTGTTCTATTTAAAACTTTTAGGTTTACTGAACTCTTTAGATGTCGCGTACTTGCTTTTATCTGTTGTGTAGTTTTAGCATTTTTTGAATTACAAGAGTCGTTTGACATTTTAATAAGAAGATCGTTTGAAAAAAAAATAAAATTGTTAATGAGATGAAGAGAAATAGAAAATTTATAACACCATATAAAATGTCATATAAGTATAGTATAAAATTTATGTAAGAATAATATAACTCTAAAATAAATTGGACTTGTACAGAAACAAAAGAAAGAGATTCATATTATTTTCTGCACAGCTATGAGTAGTACCACAAAAATAGGAGAAACGAGAAAAAGTATATACGGCAACACTTGGTTGATTGCACTTTCTTGAACCGCGCCATCTTCTGTGGGATAGTTGGATTTATTTTCTATGAATGCATCAAAATAATTCTGGTAGTCTGAGTTCTTTAAATAAAGTGGAGATCCTGTCGTTACCTTCATCATTTCCATAGCCTGCCATATTGTATATTAACCACAAATGCAAGTATAGTAATAGGACAGATAAGTGAGGTCGGTCATAAAATAAATCTATGAATGTAACAGATTGCCAATAAAATAATCCTATATGCATGGGAAATATAATAGATTAGAGTATTTTAAACACTAGACAAAGACAGTACAGTTCTTTCAAATTCAGATTGTATTGTGATCTGTAGCAAATAATTTTGCAAAAAGATATAAACACATTGCATAGCAGAAATTACCTTAAAGCTGTACATAAACTGTCTTGCTTTCTTGCTTACTTTAGCATTTGGGTGAGACTGAAGCTTCTCATACATACTTCGAGCCTCACTCGACCTGTCAATCATCAAACTATATTTGGAAATCTTGATAAAAGAAAAATAGGCCAATTAATAATAAGTAACACCACTTTCCAGTCATTTCTAGACCGAGTCCCAGTTGTAGCAGACTCACACGCATGTAGAATCTAAATTGTTCACCAACACTACTGGGCATATCAATAAAAACATGCAAATTATTTACAAGAGAAAACAATGTGACATGATCAAAACAATGGTCCATCATCATTATTTTACATCAAAAAGCCTAAATTATACAATATGATTGTGTGATGACTTAAGTCATCAAGAAATGAAAATAAACTCCCGTTAAGAGCCCAAATTGATTTGGATAACAATATTGGAGACAGCAAGGCAATGTAAGATAAACCCTATCTGAATTGTTTTGGAAGCAAAAAAGAAAGAAGATAAAGAGAGAGAGACACGTCGCAAGGATTTAACATTGTTCAGTACACAATATATGCACTTACATCCATGACTGTACTAGGGTAATAATTTTTATTGAAACAGACTACACAATTCTACCAAACCGAACACCACAGATAAATTGACCTGTTTTCAAACTAATTAATTGGTCATCAACTAACAGCATTATACATAATACATAATTTAGACTAAAACACAATTATCAACATGATCACGGCACAGACTTGAATTAACAATCTTGCACATGTATATTGGGGATTTGGGGTGTCACCAATTCTATTTAAAACACAATCTGGTAGATTCCATGAGAAGTTTAGATATGTCATGAAGTTTGTGAACGTACCTACTGAGGGAGTCTTGACAAATTGACCACTGCAAAGCAGCTAATCCATGGAGCTCACTCTGCATAGACATGATTAATCTCATGCATATATTCCTCCAAATATTTTTTCCCTAGTTTACCTGCTAGAGTATATGTCATTACATTTAAAACTACGAAAACTGGATACATGCTAAGCTCAATAAAACTTAAAGTAGAAAAAAAAGGTCATCTTCCCATGGTCCCGGTATTTACCTTCACCAAGCATGACTTCAGTTGGCTTTTAGACAGATCGTATTAGCTTCTTACTAAAAAGATACATATAATTTTTTCCACATCTAGTTAGTAATTTATTTTAAACATTTACCTGGAAGGTTAATTTATCCATAACCTTCTCATAGTAGGGCAATGCTTCCTTCAGCTTTCCGGCATTCATTAATGAGTCACCATCTTTCAATACCTATAAATATTGCATGCAAATTAGAAACTATATTATGCTGGGATTACCAAGAAACTGAAAAACAACTAAAGAAGAGGCAAATAACAAATTGAATTAGAAAGATAACAGTCTTAAGAAATTTAATGAAGCATTTAGGTGAAGATACATAGCTAATTCCTTAAGAGGCACATAACAAACAATTTAGTGCATTCTGAACACTTTAAGACGAACAGATAAGTTGAATGTCAATCATATTCTATTGAACCAAGTCATTTCCTTTACTTCGATAAGCCAACAAACCACAGCAGCTTGAGCCACCAATTTCTTTTCCTATTGGTCATAGCCATCAATTGTTAATGGTACTTTCTAAGACTAAATGAATTTAGAAATTGAATCGACTGTATGTTACATTTATCAAAAAGATAGGTACATCTATTTATACAGGTGTTGAGGTGATCTAGAACCATAAAAAACGAAAGGAAACTTGATAACTGAATTGTACCTAAAATTGCTAACTGTCATCATCAATAATACTCAACAATCAACAACTAAATAGAAAAACTGCCCAACAATATGCATGGAAATATTAGAAATAAGAAAATTGATGCATAAAAGAAGGAAAGAACGGTAGTAATATTTGCAATACCACTAAATATGCTTACCTTCTCGCACTCAGATTTTAGCTTTGGGTCAATATTTAATCCAAGTTGCTTCTGGTAGGCGGCAAGCAGCTTCTTTGTACGTGTTTCTTTAACAGCCTTTTCTTCTTCAGTCTCTAGAACCTCTCCAGGACGTATGACTCTTCCACCACCAAACTGAAAAGACCGGAAAAAAATAAGTGGAGGCAAATGAGAGAGAGAAATCATAAACAAGTGAACTATGTTGGTTCATTTGGCAAGATTATTTGAGAAATACTAAAATATCATACTGTTTTTGAAATATTGCTAGGTCTAGGAAAGACACCCCAGGTAGAAACTTTTGGCTTGTAGAGTTCTGCATTGTCTTCCTTAGCTTGTTCAGGTTTTGGAGCTGTTTCAGCATCAAACTTGCTTGTGTCTCCAACAATAAGCTCAACCTCAGGCAAGTCACCATCAAAGAAAGGGTCTGAAATAGGAACCAATCCAGGTGGCAATCCCCTAGTTGTCTTCTTATCAGCAAAATCAAGCCCCACAAAATCCATTCTTGAAACTGATAGTTCTCCCTTCTTACCACCACCAACAGTATTACTTCCTGTAACATTCTCGCCTGAAGTCCTCTCACTCCCACCCTGCATTTCTAAAATTGAATTCAAATACCCATTTTAGCACCAACAGAGCATTGAACCACACATGTAAACCTTTTCATTATACATTGCTAAATAAGAACAAACATTCACAAGATTCCCTTGTGGTTGAAGCCCGGACAGTACACATGCAGACCTAACTAACTATGTTTAAGTACACATGCAGCTATCAATTTTGTCCTTGAAATTATGATTAAAAATTTTAATTCCTATGATTATATAAAATAATAATAATTCTTAGTTCCTTTGACTAATTTTTGTTTACATGATTACCTATGCTATTAAATAACAGTTTTGTTTTATAATTTTAAGGACTAAATTGAATATAGTATTTATAATTTTAAGAACTAAATTAATGAATTTGATAATTTAACGAACCAAAATGATATATTACTCCATTAATAACATTAAATATTATTTATTAATTTTTTTTATTATGATCCTTTTCTCACGTGGACAGGTATTATTGATTACCTTGGGGTGTTTGACTAACAAGGCCTTTATTCTGCTTATACTTTTTGGCCTTTTCCTTGGCAATTTTCACAGAAGCTGGCAAGTCCTTTGGTCTCTCATCATCATCATCAACAACACTTGCTTGTTCAATTGAATTTCCATCATCAGAAGCGCTTTGCTTAATGGAGTTTTTATATGCTTTGGCCTTGTTAAACGCGAGCTTCACAGGACCCGTTTCAGCGTTTGGAGCGGAGGGTTCAGATTCAGATTCAGCACTATCAGGACTCACAGCATAACACACCTTCGCAGGCTTGTACGTTGTTGAAGCCATTCCCACGTTCAATGAGGAAAACGGAGCAGGTTTTGCCGTGGATGCCACGCGCAACGATGAGTACCATTGAGGCTGTAAAGAAGCCATGCGAGTTTTCACTCCAAAGGTAGAACAACACAACCGTTTCGTTTATTGTTGGATAAGGCAACCATGCCACGAATCATGTACCACATCTTCTATTACATTTTCTTTCGAGGAAAATATTTAAGGGATTATTTTTTATTAAAAATACAAAAAGTATAAAAAATAACTTTATGTTTAGTAAATTTAAAATCAATTTTATAATAATTATTAATAAATGTTTTTTTATTGTAAGATTAAATTTATTAATAATTATGTGAGTTTTAATAAATTTTAATTAATAATATATAACATGTTACTAATTTTTTTATTTTAAACTAATGTTTGTTAATATGAAAATGAAACTTTTTTCATGTTTAGTAGAAAAATAAAGAAAAAATTAGCATAAAAATCTTGCGAATGTGCACACAAGGTTGTGTCTTTTTTTAATGATGAAATGAAATAATAAAATAAATAAATAAAAGGGTAAGAAGCAAAGTAAAAAAGAGTGGGCAAAAATATATTGTTTAAATATTGGTATAATATGATAAGGAAGAAAATAAATTGTATAAATGGGTTAAAAAAAGTAAATAAATAAATAAATAAATTGTATAAAAAAATTATTTTTATAATAACAATAATAATTTAAAAAATTATAATATATATTATATTAAGGTGGGAATTCACTTACTTCAATTTTTCATAAATTTATATAATTAAAAATAATTAATGTCTTGTTAATAATTTTTTTAAAAGACATTTACTAAGTAAATTTTAACTATAATAAGATATTGAATACAGTTAGCTGTCACGGGCACAGCTTATTCTTGGATCAAGTAGATTCTCACATTTTATATTACATAAATTATTAATTAATATATTAAAAAGATCATAATTTACTAAACATCTTTTATATTAATTGTACTCTTTCTTTTTTTTTGCTAATATAATTGTACTTTTTGTTCTCATACTTTACTCTATATATAATTTTAGTTTTCTTAATTTTTTATATTTATTCTTCTTAATTTTTTAACTGTTAAAACTAAATCCTTACATCAAAATTCTGAACTAAATGATCGTTAAAAATATAAAATACTATTGATGTGTGCAAAATAGTAAAGTAAAAAATATTTAAATAATAATAATAATAAAGATAATAAAATAATTTTTCTTTGAATATTTTATATTTTTTCAATCTATACAAATAAATAATATATTAATTTTTGTTATATTTATGTTAATTATTAGATAAAATTTTAGGATTAAAAATTTATTTGAATAATTAAAAACTATAAAAAATAAATATAAGTAAATATAATAATAAAGTAACTAAAAATGCACAATAACTGAAATATAGGGATTATTTTTATAATGGAATTAAAAATATAATTAATTCTACATTTTTTCAAGAAAATAATTTTAAGAATTTTATTATATATATATATATATATATTATAATGTGAGCAAAGTCCTCATTTTAAAACAATAAAATATTTAATAATAAATATTTTTTAAAGATTTTTAAAAATAGATAAATATTTTTTCAAACCATTTATTTTATTATAAATTTCTCTTTTAACTAATGTGATTCTCCTTTTCTCTTTATATATATTGTGTTATCACTGGACTACGACTTTTTTTTTTTTTTCTTTCACTCGATAAAAAATTAAATAATAAACGTTTTAGTATCTTAATAAGTTTCTTTCATTAACTTAAACAAATTAGTTTTTAAATTTACATTAAGTAAATATTAATCCATTTCTATAGAACACTTTAATCGATATATCAAATATTAGCTTGAAGACTTTTTTTTGGGGTCATGACTTGGAGACAGTTCACTCAGCTACATAATCCAATTCGGCAATGGGCTTTTATTATTGGGCCTGAAAATTGATTATGTAGGGTTTTTATGAGGACAAAAAAATATGAAAGAAAGTATTTATCTTCTCCCATTGTTTATGCATTATTTGTCAGCATAAACTAACTACACAAAGGTTTGGTTTCATTTATTTTTGAACCATTAGGTTTCGACCTTCTTGTTATGTTTTTGTGATGTGATGATTTCGAGTTGTATTTGAATTTTTCATGAGTTATTGGTATTATGCTCTCTCTATCTCTTTCTATACATGGGATTTTCGAAGCCCCGATTTTTCGTTGCAGAATTTTGTTTTTCATAATTGGTTTTTTGATTTCTATTTTTCCAGATGATGCACTTTTTTTTTTTCTATTGCGAAGTGCACCTTGGTGAAAAGTGTTATGATAGTTGCTTTAGATCATTTTCTCATGTGAAAGACTGAGTTGATTGGTAATATGGTGAGCTTTGGAGTTACTGATTTAACTGAGGGTTATTATGAGGGCGTTAATGAGTAAAAATATATTTAATCTTCAAATTGCAAGCGTTGTTGTTCACTTTAGTACTTAAATTTTTTTTTTTAAATCACTCATTTTGTTATTTTTCCTTGTCATTTTGTATAAAAAAGGACTAAAATGAATGTTGTTTTGTAAAGTCAGAGATTAAAATGGGGATTTTTTAAACTAAGAGACTAAAATGATCTATGCATACAATTTGGGGGACTAAAATAGGTTTACACTGCCTCCCAGGATGAACAAAAAGAAAAACTTTCGTTCTTCTTTTGTCTATGCAGAAATATATTGGAGACCTAAATTGAGGAGGCTCATACAAGATCCTCCTGTATTCTCTATGTGAATTTGATGTTCTATCTTCAGATTGCATATTGTGGTTTCCTATTCCTAGTGCATCTTGTGTTGTTTGTCTGATGTAAGATGTGTTTAGGGTAATATGCATGTGAGTTTTATATAACTATTAACTTGGGATTTGAAATGATCCAGTAAGTTGAATTCACTTTGTGCCCAAGAGTAAGAGTTGAAAAAGAAAAGCGTTCCTAGCATGACAAGAAATACTTGTTCCTGTTTTGCTGTATAGCACATATTTTAAAATCTGATTGTTTGGTTTCAACACTGAAATAAGAAACATCACTTCTCCATTATGAATTTCCCCATGCATTCAAGTTTTCTTTCTTCACTGTGCTTGGGCTAACTTGATTAACTAGAATGGAGTCCTTGAGTTAGCTTATTTCTTATAGTTTGTGTGCATTGCAGATGGAGGATAGGTTTGCCGAAGAACTTTATGGTGAAAGTTTACAACTGTCAAAATTAGAACTCAGGTCCACCAATGATCAAGAAAATAAGGCAAATGGTAAGATGTAGTATGTGTGAATTGATGTGCAAACTCTATTACTAGTACTAAATGCCTTTAATAGTTTACTTTAGAATCAGTCTATACTCTATACTATTACAAAGGGTATGATAACAATTAAAAGATGCTTCCAGCTAGTCAAAAAGGCAATAAGTGTATAAATTTTGTTTTCTATGAAAGGACCATACACTGTAAGTTTCACTATTATAACAACTATTGAATTTTGTTTTTCTAAATGCATCTGTGTTATTGTTTTTCAGTCTCTTGTTTAGGCGTGTAATTGTATATTATGCTTTCAGACTATGGCGGTGATGATTTGAGCCTTGATGGTTCTTTCTGGGATGTATCTGATGACAAGTTGGATAGCTCGTCAGATTTGGACAGAGAGTGGCAGAGGAGGCATGACCAATTCCATACGGTGTTTTGACAATCTAGAATTCATTTTCCTTATTTTAGTTATTTTTTTCTTCTGTAAAATGTAGAGTGATTAGCTATTTATTTTCACACTCCTTCATATGTTAGATTGGGTATCGAGATGGTCTTATAGCAGGGAAGGAAGCTTCTGCACAGGAAGGGTTCAATATTGGTTTTAAGCAATCAGTCCTTCCTGGTTATAGCTGGGGTGTTGTACGAGGTGTTACCAGGTATTTGGAAACTGAAGGGGAATACTTGCTGTTTATTTGAGTTTTAATACTGTTACTGGTTCACTAATTATTTTTGATATTTTGCATTCTGTGAAGTTCTTTTTCTCATCTTCCTGATAAATTAATAGAGAGGTTGATTGAAACATTGGAAAAAAGAAATGAGTTCAGAGAGCTGCATGAATCGGTGCATTCTTTGTCAACAACAGATGCCCTTAGATTGTTTAATGACGAAATAAAAGCACAAGAAGCTTTGGAACAGAGTGAACAATCAGAAGTTAGCCATCCCACACCAGGTTTGCAAGAGCAACCATCCCGTGACTCTCTGCTGAGAAATTATCGTGGACAACTTGAATCTCTGATCTGTGACAATCCTGCCTTTGACATTCATTTACCCAAACCATGATAAACGGTGATCTATTTTGTGTAAAACACTTTAGCATAGAATGATAAGAAGTTTTTTGTAGAACGTCTTCCATTTTTATCACTGTAAAAGTAGATTTATTGCCACTATTTTTGAGTTTTGTAAAAAATAATTGTTTCCTGGTAATGACAATAAAATAAAACACAGAATATCAAGTACTGGATAGAAGTTTCTTGGGTATATACTCTCATGCACATTCTAATGTTCTTTGGTGTGTAATAGCAAGGCTAATATGTTGAATAAGCTTTGTAACGTCTTCTCTTCTAGTGTGGTGTGCAACTACATTAAATGAATTAATTGTTATGAGGGTTACTGTGAGGATTAGAATAGCATGGGAGTAAATCTGGTGCTTTTGTTTCTAATTATGATAATGGTGTCCATGGGTGATGCAACCCACACAAACACTTAACACAAATAGAAGAGAACAGAGGACTGGAAAAGTTGGGAAGTGTAATATTGATAGCAGGTAACGGACAGAACAAAATGCACTAGGTGGACAACACCTCCTCATACCATAGAGCTAGGCTCCTAATAGAGAGCAAATGCTTCTCTATCTCTAATTTCTTTTTTCTCCTCACGTAGACAAGTCATTCTTTGGGCTGTGTAACTGCTTTCTAGACTAACATTTTCTCTGGCTCAACATTGTCTTTTGGGTCCTCATCAATGGGATAAAAATTGGTCTCGTGATTTATTGAGCAACAAGTGCCTTATTTTGTTCTCTGTTTTCTTAGTTGATTCATAACAACCTTTAAAATTAAATATAGAACAACAATTTTTGTGCTGTTCAATCTGTTGCAAATCAAAAGGACCCTTGTTGGTTAGTGCTAATTTTAGTTTTGCATTCATCGTAAAAGGATCTGAAATGAGTTCAAACCTATATTTGAATTTGTTCTTAGTTTAGTTACTTGATTGCGGTATACAAAAAAGTTTGTGGATAGTGTAAATGTCAGTCCTAAAAAACCTAGTTTGAAGTGGATGATTCAACGAGTGTACATAAAGAGAAAAAATATCAGATCAAGATCATGGTTTTATTCATCTATTCAAAATGAGAAAAAAAATATATTCCTTTTTATTTGTGTACATAAAAGTTCATGACAATATTGATTATTATATTTTCGGATAAATAGCTTTTAGTTATATAGAAACTTGAATGACAATAAATAAAAATCTACACTAGTACGTATTTTTCTAAAAGAACATATTATCCTGGTTATTTTAAATTCCTAAAGTTAGGGGAGAGGGGAGGAGTGGCAGGTTCTATTTAGCAATTTCACAATTTGTCACGAAAGGGATTATTTATTTCAACCAAAGGCTCTGTTCAATCTAGAGTCAAATGGTTTTACCTGCTATCTCATTTTGGTAAAGATATGGAATCCACCAAATTGCAACGCAAACCCTCAAGTGCGTATTGCGTGAATATTTTCCATCTAGTTTTGGAGCAAATATATACACATACCCTCGTGCACATACATGTTCTAAATATTTACCAATATTTAACTTGACTGAATTAATTACTTTAAATTTTTAACTTTATTTAAGTAAATTAAAACAGGACAAAATTAAAAGCTCATAGAATTTAACCCGATTTTCCAATGTACAGCATCATTTACAGCTTTTGCAAAGATAACTTTGCCTCGTTATATGTCTTCTGTTCAATGAAATATAGTATTGGCAAATATCAACCCAAACATTCAGAACACCAGATTGATGGATTGTACAAGAAACAACATGCTGGCTGCTGTGTGTTGTTAATGGGAAATGGCAGTTCATGACAGCAAGCCAGAAATATGCCATACCACTTTTGCAACAGATGAAGCAAATGTATCACTTTTGTTTAGCTGCAACCGTTCGCTGTACAGTTGAAACGCCGTCCACAAATTTTGTCCGGAAAAGAACATTTGCATTATTGAACATGCCTTCCTTCAGTGAAACCACAATAAACTGCAAATCAAAAGAAACAAAAGAAATTAGGTAATTCAACTTATTGGGGGCTGAACTGTCACTTGCAGGAATTTTGAAAATAACATTAAGAAAATGAATTTAACTGTACTGTAGTAAAACCAAAAAGAAAATTATTCAACAATCGTGTCTTTCTCCCACTTGGTAGGTTCAACTACATGGATTAAACTACACCATAATGTCCTATTGTGAATATGTACAGACAAACCACAACGAAGATTATAAAAACTGAAAATATACATGCTTCAACGTGTCAAAAACACATTTATGTTTTTCTTTTAATATTTTGATAACCTGCAATAACAGTTTGATGGATATTATATTTTTGGAATTGGGAAAAGACAAGATTGCAAGAAACCAAAGAAATTGCACCGCAATACCAATTATCTTATACCTGAGAGTGTGGAAAGTGAGCCTTAATCATTCTCCCAATGTTTTGTGTGTGGCTCAAATCAAGAGCTGCATCAACCTGCAACAATTAAACAATAAACATTTGGCTCAATCACATAATCATTGCTTCAAATGTATAAAAGATCATAACCAGTTTAAAATGGTAGTGAAATAAGAAATTCACAACATAAATTACCAACACAGTTTATGTACTCACTTACAGTTTTATTTACAAGCATGTAAATAATAGTCTAACAAGCCAAAAAAACCAGGTGTTTCTAAACAAATTGACATTCTCACTCCTGTGCCATCAAACTTCAAATTTGCCACACAATCAATCTCTAGACACAACCTAAAATCATCCATCTCCAAAACCTTTCTATAACTTCCAAGGAAGCAAAAATCTGTTTTTTCCTATCTCATTCCATCTTCTCCAATTACATATCTACACTTCAGCAAGAAAATTTCTCTCTTTATAGCGGTAACATGACATTCTATTTGTTAGTTTTTCCTCAAACTTTATTTGAAAGTTTGGACAGAGAAGGAAGGAAAGAGGAAAAGGAAGGAAGGTTAACTCATCCCTTGTTTGGATGTTAAAAAAAATCTCCCAAAATAAGAGAACTCAAAAATAAAAAGGGGGGTTTGGGAAGGCATATAAAATTCCTCAAACCCCTTCTTATTTTTAAAAACTCTCAAACAGGAGGTCTCTTAAAAGCTCCTCCTTCTCCCCTAAATTGAACTAGCAAACAAAGCCTTAATGATATGTCATTTTTCAACTGGGGGACATGGAAAGAGGACAGGTAATTTGAATACAATTTCCAGACCCTCTATAGCTCTCAGCATTAAAAAATAATAAACAGTTTTACTGAATTTATAATCGGTGAGGCTAAAAAGTTAACAACTTTTTACTAATGAATACAATGCCAACCAATTTTTTGGCAATATTTAATTTGAAACATGGTATGTTAATCAAAAGGCCATTTTCTATTGGCATAGATGATTAATCAAACAAGTCAATGACAAATTATAAAGAAAGTGGCTTGAGGATGCCAATTAATTAATAAGCATAAATTTGTAAAGCATGTTTAACCCATCATCCTATCAAATAAGAAGCATAAATTTATTAACTATGTCTAACAACTGATCAATCCTTAAAATAGAATGTAACTAATTTTATATTACAAACCAGTTCATCATCGAGCTTGACTTGTATTCTTTTAACACATTCTACTAAGGACTTGTTTCTCAAAAAAATTATTTAAAAAGACTATTATTTTGCATAAGCATATACTCGTGTAGTTTTCTCATCAGCTCAAATTTCACTAATTTAGTAAAAACGAGGATTTGTGTTCCCCAGTTTTATCGAACATCAACACATTATAATACATCTCAGTTAATATCAATTTAGTGTTTCAATCTCTTATAGCTCTCTTCCTCCCTCAATACATAAACCCCCATAATTCCAGCACATTCAAAACTTCATTTCATCTTCTAAAGTCTTAAAGTTGATAGTGTGAATGTCCAAGACCAGTCACAGATTAAGCTAAGCTGCAGAGAGCAAAAAACTATGCCTAAGAAGCTGGCCTGTTCATAATTGCTCATCACCGGTAGATGCTAAGAGGTTCATTCACAATAAAGTGGACTAAAGCATAGCACAATTTGATTTCTCAAGGAGGCAAATAGTGCAGCTTTTCAACAGAGAGGAGGGCAACATAAGTTAACATCTTTTAAGAGAGGGAAGGGTATTTTACCACAAATATTACTAATTGACTGCACTGTGCACAAATATAGAATGTCCATAAACACCAGTTAATAATTAGGCATACAAAAAAGGCATGAAGGAAAAATAAAAATGATGAAAAAAAAAATAGTTTGTTGGGAATAGCTTAAGTGCCATGCATTTGAACTTATCTTAAGGTTTTTTACAGGATTCCATCTGTGTCTATAGAGGAAAACTTGGAGGATTTCAGTATTTCACTGTCACAATTGAATGCAATCTCTTCTAATTACTGAAATAACAAGATAACTAGGATTCTATGAAAAATTAAGAGAAAACTTGTGTAAAACATACCTCATCAAGGATGTAAAGTGGAGCAGGTTTGAACAGAAGCAGTGCCAGAATCAGAGAGAGTGCAAGCAGTGATCGCTGACCTCCACTTAATTCAGACAATGTCTGTTTCCACACACCTCCAAATGCAACACGAACCTCAAGACCATCAAGAAAGCTACATCCCTCAGGGGGTTCTAACTTAGCCATTGTTCCAGGCAATAGTGTAGAAAAGATGGATCCAAAATCACTGGATCAATAGAATAAAAGCATGAAACTCAACGATTGTCAAATGAAAAAGAATAAAAAAATGAGAAGTCAGTAAATTACACTGTTAAGAACTTTATACAAAAATGCTTAATTGAAGGGTCATGAATGGTGTTATATCTAACACACTAAAACCCATTTACCCAAGAATCATTTAGACATGAAGCATGGACAATGCACATGGTCCACCAAACCTTGTACCAAAATTCAATTTTTAACTTAAAAAAGACGAATTACGAGGCAAGGATCAACCTATAGACCGTTTGGTCACAAAGGATCAGATATCATGTTATGAACCAACTCAACCATCAAAAAGCTGAAGTTATTAAATGAAGGCTACCAAATGGTTTTACATCCAACAGACATAAATTCAGTGGATCAAATTATATAAAATAAATAAATAACTCACTTATTCACTTTGATCCAGGTAACATTTAGTGTCTCCTTCTTCTTCTCATCTAGTTCTTCAATCACCTTCTTGATTTTAGACTTGTCATTCTAGGCCAAAAAGGAATAGTTTAAGCACTTATGAAAGGAAGATAGAAAAATG